TCCCAAAGTGCTGAGATTACAGGCATGAACCATTGCAACTGTGGGTAATTTATAAAGAAAATAAATTTAGTTTTTATAGTTCTAGAGGCTGGGAAGTCCAATGTTGAGGGGCTGCATCTGGTGAGGGCCTTCTTATTGGTGAGGACTCTCTGCAGAGTCCTGAGGCAGAGGCAGTACAGGGACTCTACCAGAGAGCACCAACCTGGCTTTTTATAATAGACTCACTCTTGTGATAACCAACCCACTCCAATGATAACCCATTAAACCTATTAACCCATAAATACATTAATCATGGATAAATTAATTCATGAGGGCAGGGTCCTCATGATCAGTCACCTCTTAAAGCCTCCACCTCCCAATACTGCTACATTGGGGATTAAGTTTCAACAGGAGTTTCAGAGGAGACAAGCAATCTAACCCAAGCAATGTATGCTTTGACGTTTCCAACCATCAAGCCACTGTACAAGCTTGTGCCACAGTAATTCAGCTTTTAAAAAGAAGTATTATTATATCATAGTAGGGTTGCGAAGCCTAGACCATAGGAGTTCCAGCTTTCTAACACTTGGGACTTCCTGTCTGAATACGAATAGCCTTTCTTGTTGGGTATAGAGTATCCCAGTGGTGTTCAATAAGTCAGTTTTATAGAAAGGGTAAAAATATCAGGTAGAGATTGAATTAGTAGATACTTTTCATCTATAGTTTAGGGTTAGAAGCTTAAAGGTTTCATTTAGAACTCAGAATAGGCAAAACATCTAGCTAACACCCTAAATTGCCCAGTCTTCTCACAAGAATAATCTAGGGTAAGGTAGTGCTCTCCAGTCCTGGTTGGAACAGACTCTTTTATTGTCTAGTTTGGGCAATACTCAGCATGCCTCAAGGCAATGGGTGTTATTTCAGTTACCTGTTAGCATATAGGGTTGGAAAATTAAGAATTTGAACACTAAAATGAAAACTTAGAATTGGAAGATCTTCTACTATAAACTTAGAATTTGGGACTTTTGTATATTGTAATCACTAAACAAAATACCTGTTTTTAAAATTATTCTTTAAAAATTTTTTTAATTACAAAAGAAATATGTGCTTAATTTTTTTTAAAGTTGAAAGTAAACTGAAAAAGTACACTTCCATGCTCCTCAGTCCAGCTCCCTTAAGGACAGGCACTGTGAACAGTTGCATCTATAGCATTCAGGGCCTGTTACTAAACATACTCCACCTTCAGTCCACACATATACAAATACACATTTTCGCAGCTATACATATAAAAGTATATATGACATAATACATATTTATATGCATATATTACATATAATTATATATACTAATATATGTATAATACATGCACTCATATAATTTTTAATAAAAGCAGGATTTGCATTAAACATTGTCCAACAATTTGCATTTTTTACTCATATATAATTTAGTTAGTACATATATTCTCAAATGGCCCATATTTTAATTATTTTCTTAAATAAAGCCAGATACAGAATAAAGCCTCATATAAATTATTTAAGCATTAGAAAAATAGGGTACTCTAAGGATGTTATAATGGAACTAGAAAATTTCTGTCAGTTCTCAAACATTGCAACATGTAGGATTATTCTATCCTGAATATTTTCACTGGACTCTTAAAGGAAAATAAATTAAATGATTTCATATGTCTTTACAATTTCATTAATAGGCAATCTTTCCAGGAGCTTTCTTTTCTGATATCTAACTTTTTTATCTGAATAGAAAGAACACACACATAGTACCAATGTAAAAAGTTGCCAAACGGTACATGTAGTCAAAAGTAAGTCTTCCTTTCTTCTCGGTTTCTCAGCCCCAGAATTTCTTTCCCCAAAGGCAACTGTTAGCCAGTTGCTTGCATATTTTGAAGATGTTTCTTAATATTCTGTAGATTTAAAATGCCCCTAAAACAACACCATATCACCCCCTCAAGAAAATTTCTAGCACTTGCTTAAGTACAGGCATACCTCATTTTATTGTGCTTTGCTTTATTGTACTCTGCAGATAACTCATTTTTTATAAATTGAAGATTTGTGGCAATACTATGTTGAGCAAGTCTATTGGCACCATTTTTTCAACAGCATGTGCATGAAGATATCTCTGTGTCACGTTCTGGTAATTTTTGCAATACTTCAAACTTTTTCATTATTATTATAACTGTTATGGTGATTTGTGATCAGTGATCTTTGATGTTACCATTGTAATTGTTTTGGGACGCCATGAACCACACCCATATAAGATGGTGAACTTAATTGATAAGTGTTGTGTGTGTTCTGACTGCTCCATGAACTGGTCATTCCTCCATCTCTCCCCTCCTTAGGTCTCCCTACTCCCTGGGACACAATAATATTGAAATTAGGCCAGTGAAAACCCCTACAATGGCCTCTGCATGTTCAAGTTAAGGAAGAATTGCACACTTGAAACTAAAAGCTAGAAATAATTAAGCTTCGTGAGGAAAGCATGTAGAAAGCCAAGACAGGCTAAAAGCTAGGCCTCTTGCATCAAACAGTTAGCTAAGTTGTGAATGCAAAGAAAAAGTTCCTGAAGGAAATTAAAAGTGCTACTCCAGTGTACACATGAGTGATAAAAACGTGAAACAGGCTTATTGCTGATATGGAGAAAATTTGAGTAGTCAGGATAGAAGATCAAACCAGGCACAACATTCCCCTAAGCCAAAACCTAATCCAGAGCCAGGCCCTACCTATCTCTTTGCAATGCTATGAAGGCTGAAAGAGGGGAGAAAGGTGCAGAAGAAAAGTTTGAAGCTAGATGAGGTTGGTTCATGAGGTTTAAGGAAAGCTGTTTATATAAAAGTGCAAGGTGAAGTAGCAAGTGCTGATGTAAAAACTGCAGCAAGTTATCCAATAGATCTACCTAAGATAACTGATTAAGGTGGCTATAAAGAACAGGTTTTCAATGTAGATGAAAAAGCCTTCTATTAGAAGAAGATACCATCTTCTAGAGAGAACTCAATGCATGGCTTCAAAGCTTTAAAGGATAGGCTGACACTCTTGTTAGTGGCTTAATGCAGCTGGTAACTTGAAGTTGAAGCCAATGCTCATTTACCATCATGAAAATCCTAGAGCTCTTCAGAATTACGCTAAATCTGTTCTGCCTGTGCTCTATAAATGGAACAGCTCATCTGGATGACAGCACATCTGTTTATAGCATGGTTTACAGAATATTTTAAGCCCACTGTTGAGACCTACTGCTCAGAAAAAAAAGATTTCTTTCAAAATATTTGCTCATTGACAATGCACCTAGTCACCCAAGAGCTCTGAAGGAGATGTACAAGGAAATAAATGTTGTTGTAATGCCTGCTAATACAGCATCCATTTATAGTCCATGGATCAAGTAGTAACTTAAACTTTCATGTCTTATTATTTAAGAAATACATCTCATAAGGCTATAGGTGCCATAGATAGTGATTCTTCTGATAGATCTGAGCAGTCGATTGAAATCATTCTGGAAAGGATTCACCATTCTAGATGTGATTGAGAAGATTCATGATTCATGGGAGATCAAAATATCAACATTAACAGGAATGTAGAAGAAGTTGTTTCCAACACTCATGGATGATTTTGAGGGGTTCAAGACTCCAGAAGAAATGACTGCAGATGTGGTATAAATAGTAAGAGAACTAGAATTAGAAGTGGAGACTGATGAAGGGACTGAATTGCTGTAATCTCATAATACAACTTGAGTGGATGAGGAGTTGCTTTTCATAGATGAACAAAAAAGGTGGCTTCTTTAGATGGAATATACTCCTGGTGAAGATGCTGTGAATGTTACTGGAATGACAACAAAGAATTTATAATAGTACATAAACTTAGTTGATAAAGCAGTGGCAGGGTTTGAGAGCATTGACTCCAATTTTGAAATAAGTTCTACTGTGGATAAAATACTATCAAATAGCATTACATGCTACAGAGAAAGCTTTCCTGAAGAGTCAACTGATGTGGCAACTTTCATTGTTGTCCTATTTTAAGACATAAACGCAACCACCCAAACTTCCAGCAACCACTGCCCTGGTCAGCAGCCATTAACATTAAAGTAAGACCCTCCATCGGAAAAAATATTATGACTCACGGAAGGCTCAGATGATCATTACCAGTTTTTAGCAATAAAATATTTTTAAATTAAGGTATGTAGATTTTTTAAAGGCCTAATGCTATTGCACACTGAATAGACTACAGTATAATGTAACATTATACTGATTTTTATGGGCACTGGGAAACCAAAAAATTCATGTGACTCCCTTTATGGAAACATTCCATACCACTGCTTTACTGCAATAAAGCAGTGGTATGGAACTGAACCTGCAATATCTCTCAGATTTGCCTGTTATTTTTTATTGTAATTTTGACTTCTCTATTCAAATGAGGAAGAGAAGATAGAGTAAAGCTACAGAGTCAAAAAATTTATGTGGGAGCCTGCATTAATGAAGAATAAGTAAAGAATAACTTGATTATCAAAGGATTGAGACCCTTGAGAAAACTGATAAAGCTCTTCAATGTAGCTTTCTTTTAAAAAAATCTTCATGACAATGTAGCAAAAGTCAAAAGTGATATATATCCTATTTAAAGTAATCAGCCCCCAAATCAACACTTAATTCATCTTTTGATCTAAGATTTTGCAGTTATAATTGCATCTACACCAAATTTTATAAAACTTAAAATAAGCCCCATTCATAATTTTACATTTTGGTTTTGAGATAAATTTCAAAGTAAATGGGGGAACCTTAAGTTCTTATTTTAAGTGGATTCACTTAACCTGGGCCTTTTCAGGACCAATTACCCAAAGATCACTCTTATTTGTATCTTCACTTCCCTTAAGGAACAATGTTTTTTTATATAAAGGTAGAGGTGTTGATTGAAATGTTGGTTTTAAGTTTATGTTAGTAAAAGGAAAGCTACAGAGTCAATATGGTCTAATTCAAACATGCTTTTATTTCAATGGCAAAAAAGCAATTAATTTTACTATAATAGCTGAAGAGTTATATTATTCCTCCTAACAGTAAACATACATATTAAGTAGCAACCCAAAAAGTAGTTGTTAAAATAGGCCCACCAGACCACACAAGATGAAATACAAACATTTGTTGATAATTTGAGCAAGTACTTAATAAATTATTAAGAAAGAAGGCTTTAGAATGTTAGTTCTTCACATTCCACATAGAACTTCCAATGCTGATCCATTATTTGGCATGGGAGAAATTCTTGATCGCTGAATAATAGTATTTCATTTATTTGTAGATACTGTGGGATGGTTTGCATTGATTTTCTGGAAGTTCCTATTTAAAGAAGTATCGACAAATTAAAAACTGCCTTTTTAAATGTAAGATTTAAATTCAGTTATTACAAATCCTAGAATCCAGTAAAGTCCATGTGAGAGCATACATGACAGGTTTTCTGACCAAGACCTTCTTCATGCATTCCATTTTCTGTACCTGAGACAAAGCTATAAACCAGCATGGGCTGATCTTGGAAGAGAGAGAGATGTTTTCACCAAGAAAAGGAAGCTTCTGAAGGTAGCTGTATATTAAAGGAAGCCTCTGAAGGTAGCTCTGTCCTCAATTTCCAACAAATTGAGAATAAAACAGTTATGATGATGAAATGAGATTTTGCATGTGAAACACTTAGCATACTGCCTGGCATATAACAAATAATAAATATTAGCTATTATTATTGTTATTTATTACTAAAAAGAGTCTTAGGCTAGAAGGTAGATGGCCAATTTTCTAGTCCTGACTCTGCCATAATCTTTGTATGTGATCTCAAACAACTTATATGGCTTCTCCAGACTTCCATCTCTCTAAGAGGTGAAAAGGTTAAAGATCAAGAAGGTTCCTTTTGGCTCTGCCAGTCTAAGGGGTCAATGATCCTAAAACTGGTTTCTTCAAGCTTTCTGATAGTCTCAGAGAGATTTTGTCTCAGAAATTGGCTCTATGAGCTGTACATCATCCAGCAAATTGAATCTTATTCCACAGATAGCACCAATATTAGTGTGACCCCCACCAGGTGGTTTAGTTAGACATACCATATGGTCTAAGAGCTTCATTCATCTGCAGGGTATCTACTGTTTTTGATGCCTAGTACCCATGTCTTTCCTGTAGTGACTCACCATTATTTGCCTATATATGACCATCATTTTCCCCATATTTAGCCCCTGTTCTCCTGGTAGAGTTGTTCTCAATCCCTGATGGATTTAGATCTAAGCCAATCAGTGAATAAGCATTGATTCAGGGATAAGATCATGACCCATTCAGAGGTAAATGAGATGCAATGAAATTTTTGTGGGTCTTTCAGGGAAAAGTCACATACATACTCTTTGTCTCTAGGCTTGAACCTGGAATCATGTAGCCCTGGGATGATGAGAGGAAAGACTATTAGGATGGAGCCAAAATGAGGAAATGGATCAAAGAAATGGTAAGCAAGAGAAACTGGGTACTTCATGATGCTCTTTGAACCGTGGATAAAACCTGAAAACTGTTCTTGGTCTTTCATGTATATCAGTCAATAAAATTCATTTTTGGGGGGTTTAAGCCAGTCTGAGTTGGGTTTTAAATGTCAATTATAATCCAAAGAATTTTAACTTTTTTATACCTGATCCATATGTAAACATAATAATTCCTTTTATTAGTAGCTTTATTTTATAGACCTCCTATAACAAGATATCCCACAGAAATAGGGGATGGGGAACTTTCCTGTCTCGAAAAATACCATAGAAATAAAGCTTTAAATATTGATTTAAATTCATTTCATCAATGTTAGCTTAATTTCATCATTTAAACACTATCATTTCCACTAGTCATTTTCTCCTGAGATACTGTCCCCTACTTTGGTTATGATAAGACCAACTTAATGTATCTGTACCTAGTTTTATTTATTTATAATTCATAATTTACTCAATTTTTACTATTCAGGCATGTACCAATACTTCTATAGGATTGATACTCAGAAGCAGAATTACTGGGTTGAAGGATTTGTAAATATTTTAAATTTTAAAAGTTTCTGCCACAGTACTTTCCCAAATGCATCCTTTTATACTACTACCAATAGTATATGACAGCACTTACGATAGTACCTGTTCTTTTCCTCTACATCCTTGCTAACACTGAACATTATCAGCTTTTTAAGTTTTACCACTTTGATGGTAAACAAAATTTCCCTATTATTTTTATTAATTTATTTTTTTAGAGCTGGGTCTTGCTTTGCTATCCAGGCTGTAGTGCAGTAGTGTGATTGTAGCTCATTGCAACTTCAAACTCCTTTCCTCAAACGATCCTCCTGCCTCTGCTTCCAGAGTAGTTGGGACTACAGATGCATGCCACCACACCCAGCTAATTTTTAAAAAATTTTTATAGACACAGGGTCGTCTCATTATATTGTCCAGGATGGTCTCGAACTCCTGGCTTCAAGCAATCCCCCTGCCTCAGCTTTCCAAAGTGCCACAATTATAGGTGTGAGCCACTGTGCCTAGCCTCTCTATTATTTTTATTGGCATTTTCTTGATTACTACGTAGCGTGAGCATCTTTCATATATTTAACATCCACTAAAATTTCTAGGACTATAAAAGTGTCTATTAAAAATTTTTAGAGATCCTAAAGGATAATTATGGTGATAGAGTATTACATGATTTGATATTTAAAACTAATAATCTGATATAGATTTACATTGATAAGATCAAAAGCCATCTGTGAAAGCTGTACTAGAATCAAGAAGTAGACCTGAAGTATAATTACTTAGAAGTTTAAAACTATTTGGGGGCTGAAATCTAATAGGTGGTTTATTAAGGTTAATTGGGTAAAGAGTATTTGATTTTATATGTAAAGTGTTCAGGTTTTTTGCATATCTGGTTGTATGAAAGTAAACCTCAGAATTCTACTAAAAAGAAGCTCCTAAATTGCATAATATATATAAAATAACCCAGCAGAGGGCTTGGGACAAGGTAGATGATCAACAAATACTTAATTTTCTTCTCTTTCTTCTCCTATCGGTGGATATATTATGTACTTTATGAATTAAGTTAAAGGAGTGTTAATTATGACACCAGAGTGAAAAAAATTACAACTGAAATAATAAAGACTCAAGTGTTGTAAATAAGTGCTGAAATAAACACCCTCAGCACTATTATCAGGTACCCATCTTCCTCGTATGTTCAAAGTTTAAAAAGTTCTAAACCACATAAAACAGAAGCACCTGTGAATGTTTGTGCTCTACTATTACATATACTTTTACTAAGAAATGAAACAAAATAACAACCTTGAAATGAAGAAAACTCTGTCTTTAAAGCCATTTCATTTATTTACAACAGATTAAAAGTATCCCAAAGACTGTTTTACTAAAAACAAAAAAAGCTTATTTTTCCTAGAAAAGCATGTTCTATTTTTAAATGCACAAATGATATTAGCTCCTCATGAAAGAAAATATAATTAGTGTGTATTAAATGATTGCTTGACATTATCCTAATGAAGTAACTCAGGAATAGAAAACCAAATGCCACATGTTCTCATTTGTAAGTGGGAGCTAAATTATGGGTATGCATGGTCATACAGAGTGACATAATAGACACCAGAAACTCAAAAAGCAGGGTGATAAGACGGGGGAAAGGGATGAAAAATTACCTATTGGGTAACGGGTACACCTAAAGCCCAGATGTCACCACTATATAACATCCAAGAAACAAAACTACACTCGTACCCCTTGAATCTATTGAAATTTAAAAAAAATGAGAAGAAACAATGGAAAATTTTTTTTTTAATTTTTAAAAATTCCTTTCTTTCGTGGATAAACCAGAAAAAAGAAAAGAAATATAAAATAAAAAAATAAAATAAATGATGGGCCTCAGGTGATACTTGATCCTTTTTTTTTGGCTTAGATGAAAACATTTGCTTAATGTGTTTTGAGTATCTTGGTAATATGGTGACAGGGAACATAAATATATAAAATTGGCTTTCTAGGTAAAAAATGAAATGTGAGCTATCTTAAAAAATTTGTAAATGTTTGAGATGATGGATATTATAATTATTTAGATCTGAACACTATATGTTATATGTATCAAAATATCACTATGTATCCCATGAATATGTACAATTATTTGTCAGTTAAAAAATTATCACCCCCAAATAAATAACCTTGTGAAAAATAAGTCAATATGTCCATGTCTAATGATAACAAATTCAATAGCAGTTTAGGAATGTTTATTTTTTTCCCTTCCAGTTTTTACTGAAATATCAGTGAGGATTCTCTTAGTAACACAAAAGAGGAACAAGCAGGCAAAAAGGTGAGAGGCTTGGGAGGAAGTTGTGAAATTTTAAGGGAAAATGCACCATAGACTCACTCCATTTTAAAGATTATAAGGACTTTAGAGATAAAGGATCCTTCAAGGGGTTTCATTGACAAATTTTTTTTAAAATGTTTGTGTTTTTATGTTTGAAGTCCTTGATTAGAAACAACACATCCCCTCCAATGTGTTAATATACCACGTTTCAACACTCTGGAGTTCATCAATACATTGACTTGAGTTACCAATTTAATTAGTTTTTTTGTGCAGAATTCAGAATAAAGCTCTTTCATTGTCTCTGATTCACTGAAGAAAATCTTAAGATGGCAAAATTAAAATTTTTTATCATTTATCTTCATGATTCAGGATTTTCTTGATACCATGAATTCAAAATGATATGTAAATAAGGTAGACATTGAGGCTTCTATTATTTCTTCTGTGGAATGCTAATAGATATCATCTAATTAAATACGTTTAGGACATATTGATTCACAAAGCTAAAAAGATTTCCTTATGATTTCTCATAAAGAGGGAGAGTGAGAGGGAAGGTTCTCTTTTAAATTTGTGGCTGAGAAAATATAATGGGCTATCACTCTTATATCTTACAATTAGAAACAGCAAATTCAGATAAAGGAGATAATATTAACTAACCCAAATCCTATTGACCATTGGTTGAAATCTTCACCACAAATTCCATTATAATCTGTAAGATCTAGGCATGTTCCACCTATTAAGACAGTCAATCTAAACAAATCCAGTTTTAAAACACCAGTGCTTTGGATCATATTAATGCTTTCACTCACTCATTCACTCATTCATTTATTTAACGAACATTATTAAATGAACATTTATTGGGAAGCTATGGTGGTGTGCCAAGCATTTGGGAATATAGGAGGAAGCAGAGTCCCTAAAAGTCTCTCTCAAAGATTTTTTTAGACTATCAGGAAATAAAAATGAGGTAACCAGCAATTATTTATAATACAGATTGATATGCATAATATTTGACCTATCTGATCTAGCTGCACAATATGTAGAACCTAAACATTTCTTACATAAGCAAATGAAATTGAAAAGTTTTTTTGTTTTTTTTACCTTGTCCAAATTTCGTTTTCTCAAACACCAATTTGCTTGGTTCTTGTACTGGGTCATCTAAACAAGGTGCTTCTGAAAGTGAAAGGGAATGTTAGTAATAATTTTGCTGAATTAGGGATTGACCTGGTCAAACCAGTACGTATGGTCACCCTAGCTATGGGGTACCCTTATTCCCAAAAAAAGACACTATTCTGAAGAGTATGATCATCAAAAAGTATAAGAGAACAGATTATGTTTGTGATCCCAGGTAGGCTGGTGAAAGCCACATGGACTTATTTTTTTTTTAGACTTTCTGGTCTCTCAGTGTCAGAGCCATGATTTCCATGACCATATTTTTCTCTTTTTTTTTTGATACAGAGTCTCACTCTGTTGCCCAGGCTAGAGTGCCATGGCATCAGCCTAGCTCAAAGCAACCTCAAACTCCTGGGCTCAAGCCATGCCCGGCTAAATTTTTCTATATATGCTTTTAGTTGGCCAATTAATTTCTTTCTATTTTTTTTTTTTTTAGTAGAGACGGGGTCTCACTCTTGCTCAGGCTGGTTTTGAACTCCTGACCTTGAGCAATCTACCCCTCCGCTTCCCAGAGTGCTAGGATTATAGGCGTGAGCCACCATGCCCAGCTGACCATATTTTTTATATGCAGAAGAGGGAAAGATTCTCTCTTGCATGCTTGTCTTGTAATAGGGGCAGAGAGTTTTACATTTTTCTAACTTGTCAGGTCTTTGGATTTCTGTCAAGTACCACATAAACAGCTATAAAAGAATCCTAATCAAGCTGGGTGTGGTGGCTCATGCCTGTAATCCCAGTAGAGTTGGGAGGCTGAGGTGGAAGGATCTCTTGAGGGCAAGAGTTTGAGACCAGCCTGGGCAACATATTGAGAACCTGTCTCTACAAAAAAATTTTAAAAATTAGCCAGGTATGAGTTTGAGGCTGAAGTGAGCTATGACTTGCACCACTGCACTCCAGCCTGCCAACCTGGGTGACAGAGTAAGACCCTGTCTCTAAAAAAAAACCTAATCAAACAAAATTCTAACAGCAGCCTACGGAATGCCAATAGGGATCTGCCTGTAGATTCTTAGGCCCCACAATAACAGGAAAACTGTTTATATTATAAGGCAACAGTTCAGAACCTATTTCTAATTTCGTGCACACTTGATGGGAATTATGTGCCCTCTGAGGAAGGAGATGCCTGGTTGGAGTTTGAGATGCCTGCCTAGAACTAGAAAATCTGAAGAATAGATGACCTTTATGATATCAGAAAGAACCTACAGTTCTGCTTTGACTCATCGGGTTAGAAACTAAAAGGAGAAAGGGTTTGCTGGGTTTTCCTTCAGATGTATTGGTGGGTGGGGGAAGAGAGAGTGCTTTGGTAGAATCAAAGCAAAGGGCTGTCAAATTATCATCTGCATAAGAAATCAAATACTACTAGACATCCAAAGTCTATAGTTAGGCTGGCTGAGTGTCACTAAAAATCTAGGGCCTTACCTCATGATTTGATTAGGTACATATGCAACCAGGTTAGGAACCTACAAGAACTACAAGAACTCCTTCCAGTTTCTTAAGCACTTCAGCTTCCCTACAATTATTATTGTTACCTGGTCTGTTTCTCAAAAATAATGAAAAGCACTTTCGAGGCTATCTTCAGAAAACTGGGGAGAATGCATCCTATTATGAAGTCAGTTCTTGAAACAGAGAAAGATCTTAAGAGGTTAGGGTGGATTAGGTGTTAAAATTGGGAGAGGAAAGAATTATTGGGGCTTGATGTAAGAAAAGGAATAATAATGGTTTAGCTGCTGTAGAAAACAGTGTGACAATTCTTCAAAATGTTAAACATAGAATCATTACATGATACAAGCTGAGTATCCCTTATCATACTCAAAATGCTTGGGACCAGAAGTGTTTTGGGTTTTCTATTTTTGAATATTTTATATACATAATGAGATATCTTGGAGATGGGACCCAAGTCTAAATATGAAATTCATTTATGTTTCATGTACACTTTATATACATAGCCTGATGGTAATTTTATATAATATTTTTAATAATTTCATGCATGAAACAAAGTTTTGACTGTGTTTTGACTGCAGCCCATCACATAAGGTCAGATGTGGGACTTTCTACTTGTAGCATCATGCAAGTGCTCCAAAAATTTTGGATTTTGAAGAATTTCAGATTTTGGATTTTTGAATTAGGGATGCTCAACCTATATAATAATTCCATTCCTAGATCTGTATACAAAAGAACTGAAATCAGGTACTCAAAAAATGCATGTAAATGTATGTAAATGCATATTCATAGAAGTATTATTCCCAATAGCCCAAACGTGGATACCACCTAAATACTCATTAAATAATGAGTGGACAAATTGTGGTATATCCATATAATGGAATATTATTCAGCCACAAAAAGAATACTGATACATGCTACAAAGTGGATGATCTTCAAAAACATTATGCTAATTGAAATAAGTCAGACACAAAAGGTCACATATGGTATGTTTTCGTTTATATGATATATTCAGATAGGCAAACTGATACATACAGAAAGCAGACTGGTGGTTCCCAGGGATTGAGGAAAGTACAGGATGCAGAGTAACATGGTTACTCTGGTAGTTACAGGGTTTCTTGATAAAAGTGTCTGGAACTACACAGAGGTGGTAGCTATACAATATTGTGAATGTGTTAAATGTCACTGGATTGTTCACTTTAAAATAGGTAATTGTGAATTTTACATCAAAGGAAAAAAAGATTAAAAAAAACCAAAGGAGTGCTTTTTCAGTAGGTTTGGTGTTTTTATCTCATAAGTAAGAAACGGATGTTGATCTGTACATACCTGGAAGACAAGTTTGATGTTGCTGAGATACCAAGTTTGGTTCTGGAAGTATGGGTACTTCCTCAGAAACATACTTTAAAAGCTCCTTCCCAAGATATGTTACCTGCACATAATTAAGCACAGAATTTAAAAATCATATATTCTTTAAGAGTCAAATACACCTATCTAATGAAAATTGTAATTTTATAAAGTATTTATTATTATATATCATGGATTGGTAAACTATAGCCCATGGCCAAATCCAGGCTACCACTTTATTTTGTAAATAAGGTTTTATTGGAATGCAGTGATGTTCATTCATTTACTTAACGTCTATGGCTACTTCTATGCTACAACAGAATTGAGTAGCTGTGACAGACCATATGCCCATGAAGCCCAAAACATTTATAATCTGGCCCTCTACAGAAAAAAATTGTTGACCTTTCTCGTGTATCATTAATTGTCTTATCCATTCACTTATTTAACAACCATTAATCCAGCACCTGCTACTTTATAACTTTAAAAAATTGATGTTACATCAATAAAATTAAGCCATAAAAGTAATGGTACTTTTCAAGAAATCATATATTTAGATGATTGAATTAATAACATTTCATGTCTATATATCCATGTTTTTGTGTGTTTGTGAACTTAGATATTATTATCAGCCCAAAAGGTCAGAGCTTAGATATATCTACACATGAATGGGTGGGGCTGTGACAGACTGGCAAATACCTACCAGAAATGTCCTGGGCCTAAGTGTCTTTGAGTTCTTTATTCTTAGCTGTAGGGCAATCTAATAATATAAGTCCAGAGGCTAGGTTCACTGTGGGCAAAGTATCAAGATTCAACTCAAACATCTCTTCTTCCAATATCTTTTAAGCTCAAGCAATGACCTTCTTCTTCTAAGCTCCCATAACTTCTGTGTTCATATTTCTGTCACAGCACTTATGTATATAATTTAAATGAAACTATGTTTTAATGTATCTGTTTCCATTAAAACATAAGCTCCTTGAGGGCAGGGTCTATGTCATATTTATTTTTATACCCTCAGTACTTCACATAGTGCCTGACAATACTGGGTAAAACGTAAAAGACTCTGAAGTCCCAATTCTTAAGCAAGATTCATAAATTCTTTTGAGCCTCAGTTTGTGTGTTTGTAAAACAAGTACCTCCAGCTTATGAAGTTGTTGTGAGAATTAAAAGAGATAATGCACGAAAAGCATTTGCCACAGTTGTGAGGATTAAAAGAGATAATGCATGAAAAGCATTTGCCATACTGTCTAGTATATCGGAGTGCTCAATAAATACTTGTTAAACTGGACAGAGTGAGGAAGGTCTGGGGGGATTAGTAAGGTATAGGCAGGCACCCTTTGTGCTCCATTCCATGACCAAACAAAGCCTGGTAATGGAAACAGAACAGACTAGCCTACCCAGTGTGCCAATCCCTCCTCACTTGTCACGGAAAGAAGTAGAGGAGAAATCCCTGAATGCCATTTGTCAGTTCTCCAAATAACCATTGAAACAATGGATTTTGTACATGTTATGGTCTGACAATGTCCAACACACTTTACATACCTATCAGGCTCAATGTGTTCTCACCTATATCTCAGACTTAAAAAATATTTTTATCAGTTAGTGCTGGGTAATATTAGGTGACTTACACATACCACTAGGAATAATTCAGACATACAAATAACACAGCCTTAAGAAAATCCACTGAGTTAAAAATCTACTTTTCATAAGGTAGAAGTGATTTATTGAATAGGTTAATGAATAGACCTCAAATAGGCTCTAGATCACTTCTGGAAACTGCATTTCAAGTTAGTGTCTGTATAAAACTTCCAGTTGGCTAAAGCATACGAGCAAACAGTCATCACATTTGCATATGACTCAAAGTTTGAATCCTGAACTAAATCTCATTTGGCTCCAAATCTATGGTAGAAGGAGCTACAGGATAGGCTCCTGAGGGTCTTAGACTACATAGCCTCCAGTGATCTCAACAACTTTGCCATCCAAAACCCATTTTGATGAAGGGCAGCTGATGGAATGCCATCTTTCCCCATATGAGAACATGTAAGAGAGATGGAGCTTGGTATAAGATATATTCTGTGAGGATATGTGTAGGTTGTTGTGGTCTTGCTTTTCTAAAAGGTAGAAGTATAAGGGGTGTTTTGTCCTAAGGCCACTGATGCTTTCCCTGAAGCTTTACAGCAAAATCCTCCTTATTCCTCAGAAATGGGCCTATGCCTGGCTGGGCACGGTGGCTCATGCCTGTAATCCTAGCACTCTGGGAGGCCTAGGTGGGCGGATTGCTCGAGGTCAGGAGTTTGAAACTAGCCTGAGCAAGAGCGAGATCCCATCTCTACTCTAAATAGAAATAAATTAATTGGCCAACTAAAAATATATAGAAAAAAATAGCTGGGCATGGTGGCGCATGCCTGTAGTCCCAGCTACTCGGGAGGCTGAGGCAGAAGGATCACTTGAGCCCAGAAGTTAGAGGTTGCTGTGAGCTAGGCTGACGCCACGGCACTCACTCTAGCCCGGGCAACAAAGTGAGACTCTGTCTTGGAAAAAAAAAAAAAATTCTACTGCAAGTTTTAAGAAGCAAGTCTTGCAAATTTTCAATACCCCAAGAGAAGAAAGAAGAAAGGATAATTGGGTTTTTTTTTTAAAAAAAAAACTCAGGGTAGAAAAAAGGCAAAGAAACAAAAGAAAACTGTAGGTGTTTTTTTTTTTTTTAAGTTTGTTGTGATGCAAACAACATTTTGGCTAAGAAAATAAAAATGTTTCTCAAATAAAATATTTCTTTAGGAATTCAGAATATAAGACAGAAAGAAGTTTCAAAGTATAGTAACTTCCTTGGACGAGCTGATTCTAGGGAAATTACATAGATAAAGTTCACCTTCATAGTGTCCACCTCCCTGTTCCAGGGTCTCCTTCTCCATATCCCCAACACTCCATGCAGCCAGAGGCAAGAGAAGGCTCTTCATGTTATTTGTTTTCAGGATTCCTAACTCCTAGATATTTTAAAAGAGGTCCATATCTCTAACCATCTCCTCCTTCCTTCCCCTCTAAAATGTAGCTGAGTAGAAGCTGAGCTCACAGGAGGTTTAAGACACATTGAGAGTGTAACTGACTGAATGAGTCTGGTTGTGTGTCCAGATGAACAATTTTTCTCACTAGCTATATTCCCCACAACCTTTCCATATCTTGATATTCCTAATCATGGTGGTGGGAAGAACCTTTTTTAAAAGTGGGGGATGGGGGTAGGAGGAGGGAACTATAGACAAAATTCAACACTAAATCCAAAGGAATGGAAAGGGTGGAAATAAGGGTGGAAGTTTATTGAGGCATCTGGATGGGAAGTGTGCTTGCAGAAGAGATCTGTCTAGTGCTCCTACTTTTAAAAAGCAATTAATAATGACAATAACACATTTTTATACTTTTTAAAATAGCAGACTACTTTTCATCCGCATCAATCCACTCTTGGATATTCATAAAATTGAACTGTCTTTGCCATTATTATGATTTTTATTGGCTTTCATAGTGGAATCGTATCCTAGAAAAGTATTTTTTCTGTGGAAGTGGGCAATTTTTACTGCATAAGACTGAGGCTTTGTATACATTCATAAAAGTGGCTAGATATTACTGCATGCTTTTTTGAGCTCAGAGCAACCTGATTAAAATGAAAGGAATGTGGGCCTCCCTTGTGCCATTGTTATAAATGCAGAAAGTAGTATATAGGGAATCAGGAAATCAGGTTCTAGTCCTGGTTCTGGCACTTACTGGCCTAATCAGGTCACTTAACCTCCTGAAACTCTGTTTTCACATCCATTAAACAGGGCTAATAGCTAATCTTTCTGCTTCATAAAGTTGTTATATAAAAGTGCCTTATAAACCACACAGTGCCATTCAAGTCCTAGAACTCTCCAAGATGGAAGGCCTTTAAAAACCATCTAGAACTCCTTATTTTATACACAAGAAAATTGAGATTCAGAAAGGTTAAATGACTTGATCTAAATCAATGATTCTCACTCTAGGCTGCACATTAGAATCACCTGGAATGCTTTTTTTTTTTTTTTTTTTTTAACACCTATACCTCACCCTCTCGGATCCTGATTAAATTGGTGTAAGACAGAGCCCAGGTGAGAGGGGGCTGAGATAGGTCTATTGCACACTATTCCAAATTTTTTTTTTTTTTTTTTTTTGAGACAGGGTTCCCACTCTGTTGCCTGGGCTGGAGTATGGTGGTATCATCATAGCTCACAGCAACCTCAAACTCCTGGGCCCATGCGATCCTCCTGCCTTAGCTTCCCAAATAGCTGGGACTACTATAGGTGCATGCCACCATGCCCCGCTAAATTTTCTATTCTTTGTAGAGATGGGGTCTTGCTCTTGTTCAGGCTGGTCTGGAACTCTTGGCCTCAAGCAATCCTCCCATCTTGGGCTCCATAGTGTTAGGTGTGAGCCACCACACCCGGCCTGGAATGCTTTTAAAAAAATAACCCAGACTATTAGATCAAAAGCTATGGGGCTGGAGTCTGCTAGGCACTGGTAGTTTCTAAAAGCCCCTCAAGTGATTCTAATGTGTAACCATGACTGAAAACTATTGTCTAGATCATATAATGTATAAAGAGTGGAACCTGGAACTAGTCTTGTCTCCTCTCACACAGAAATCACTCTACCACATCAGAATGGTGTCTAACAACTGGAAGGCTGCAGAAGCAGAAGTCAGTGATGCCTGCTGGGAGTAAGCACCAGGATTTCCTTGGCAAAGGAGGTATGAGTCATCTCTGTGTCTAATGGCTCTGTCACTCTGATGCAGGGCAAGACAAGTTTTCTGACATTTCTTGCCTAACAACCAACCACCCTTGACCCTCATACCTCACCACTATTCTTAGAACTAGTCAATAGAAATGTTTACATTTGCCAATGTAGCAAAAAGCTCCTTTCATCAAGAAGTGATTGTGAATTCAGGAGTTACTCCAAAACAAGAGGAGGCAGAGGTTTCTGTGGTAAACTTTAAAAAAGAAGACTTTAAAAGAGTTTTAAATATTGTAAAGAAACTCCCTGTAGTAACGTTTCTCATCTGTAGGCATTAACTAGAAGAATGTGAGTGCCCACAGTAATTTTTAAAATTCTGCTTTCATTTTTTGTTTAATTTAAAAAATAATCTAAGCCTGTTCAGATAATCTGTACAAATATCTTATATCCAAAAATTGCTCTTTTTTGTGCCCACATTTGCATGTGGCTTCACTATCATATAGGTGCTAAACAGCATGACTATAATGACATGGCTGATGAGAAAACACCAGAGGCAATGTGATATGCACATGAGGCATTAGTACAGAGTGAGGGCCAAATAATGTCACAGCCAGCTATTCAAAGGCAGGAAATCCTGTAGTGCCAATAGAGAAAAAGAGTGGGAGACTTGAGTCATCACTGGGCATACTGTAGTACAGGCATATTAAGCTCAAAAGAACCCAAATGACAGCATTCAATATATCTGTCCTGTGAGCAAGATTCAGTTTCAACAAAACAGTATAATCTATCACGAGTTTAAGAAACTTTTGTAATAAAAAGGGATTTCCATGGGCAAGAAATTAATTATTAATATTGGGCAAAGGAACTAAGGTGAACTGAAAGTAGATGGCCTGAAGACTCCACGGGTGAGAAATACGCAAAACTTAAGGAAAATAAAAAATCAGAGAGACTATATAGTAGACACATTACAGAATGTGCTGATGTAAGTGAAGGAAATGAAACACAGCACTAGAAGCACTGGCCACAAAGGTCTAAGGGAACAGAATGCAGAGTTGGGACACGGCAGAGACTAGGACGAATGGTGGGTAGAGCTGGGATGAATGAAAAAGAGGAGGGGAGGCTGTGCCTCCTATTTCTGGTGTACTAAGGCTGCCTGTAATGGCTAGTAGAGGTCAAATGTATCTTCTACTCTTCGAAAGAGTAAGGGTGGATGTCTGATGATTCTTACTTTCCTGGGTGAATCATTTAAAACTGTCCCTGAAGGGGTGCCATGGACATCTGGAAGTAGATGAACACCAGACTTCAAGGGTTTTACTCATGACTAGGCTTTTAACACAGAAGCCAGAACTGAGGAAGAGGCTACTAAGTCTGGGAAGTCTGAATGAAAATATTTCTTTTTGGAGGACTAGCAATTCATGGATAAGGATATTTTCAAACATAAAAGTACACCATAATTTCTGTAGGTCATAGGCTTGCTCCTTGCCCACTCCTTTTGTATTTAGGAGGAGATTTTGCTTTATTTCATTAAAATAATTGTTAGGTAGATAGTGAGGGATTCTGGGTGTCCGAGGGACAAAAGTGGGTGCTGTTGCCCTGGTGCAATTACCCCACCTGGGAAGAAGGACAAAGGTGGGCCCCCAAGCCCCCATCTTGGTTCTGCCTCACCTTAATCCTATCTTGAGCAATTGCCATACCAATCAAAGAGGTTCCATGGTGACCTCTGAACCATGAGGGAGGTCCCAATCCAGGCACTATAAAATAAGAAGCAGACCATAACCAGGCTCTTTTTCGGCCCTTCCATTTGCTCTCCTTTGTTGTGACAATGGGTCCAGTTGTCATCTGTGGCATATGTATCATGCTCTGGAAACGTGTATCTTGCTCTTGCTCTATAATCCTATCTTTCTCTCTTTAATAAACCTCATTTTCATGCTTGTCTTACTTTGGTGTGTCTGGTCATTCTTTGGCCATGGGCATGTCAAGAACCGGCATTTCAGACTAAAACCTGACATATTAACACATAGTAACTAAATTATTAATATGCCAGTGATCCTAAATTTTCTATATGAAGTCACAAAGACCTGAAATCATTTGAGGGGAGAGAGGGGAAGATTAGCAGTATTAAAGTTTCTGATACTAGGTGAGGAACAAGGAAGGGAAGGCACAAGCATCTGTGTAACCATGCCCATTGGGAATTCTGGCAAATAGGAGTTGTGGGAGAAAAAATGTAGCATATCACTGAAGGGACACTTGAGGACAAAAACTATCTTAGAGACCATTCAGATTTCTTAAAAAGGAAAAAAGTTTTATCATCAAAAAATATATATACCTTTACATTTGAATATGAAGTTAAAGGTAAACTTAAGAATGACTCACCTTACTCCAAGCATAATTCCAGGTCACATAACTTTCACCTCCCAGAAGATCCTTGAGCCAAGTAACTGGGTTTTGATAAATCTGACCATTTTCTACCTTAATTTTACCACTTATTAAAATACTGGCTTTGTATGTAGTATCCTGAAGTGAAATGAAATAAAATAAAATAAAATCCAGCTGAAATATGTGAACTTCTGCTTTTGACCATGAAAGAGTAACAGGGACCAGATTTATCCTAACACCTGATATATTTAGATAGATAGACAGACAGATATAGATATATTTAAAGTATCTGGAAATGGTCATAAAGGCATGTAGCAAATAAAGAAACATCTATTCAATAGTATCTACAAAACTTAGGTTTAAAAGGTAAGAGTCTATGATAGCTTCCTTCTTTCCCACTCCCAGCTCAGTGAGGTGGAGACTTTACTCCAGATTGCTCTAGTCAAGACCACAGGACTCCCTATTAGAGGGCTATCTTCCTGGGAGAGACAAAACTTCAGCATTTCTCATCCTGCCCTCAGCTATCTGTTCCTAAGGCTAAGGTCCAGGCAACTGCAGGAAAAAGGTGGGGCCTCCCTTCTTCTGGTCCAGCTCTGAGTGATGAGACAGACTTTATCTTTGGCACAGCATCACTGATGCTAGGGGGACCCAGAGCACCCTTGCCTGGGCATGCAAGGGTGGGGATTCAAGTTGGGAGAGGCAAGCTGAATAGATATGAGGCTACTGCACTCTCTCCAGTGAGTGCTCACCTCCTAAAGCAAAGGTATCACTTACAGAGAAATCACCATTGTCCCCACCCCCAGGCCCAGGGCCACAGCTCAGAGATTTTGCCTGGGAGGAGAAGGAGGCCTTAAAACAGATAGATCCTAACCTCCTCCCAAAGGAACTAACTTCATTTGCACCAGATTATGGAGAAGTTCAAATTCAAGGGTACCATCAGAAATAGCAGAAGTGGTAAAAGGCAACTGAAAGTAGAATGGCAGATTCATTAGAGAGAATAGGCTAAACTGTAGCCTGGCTAGTTTTCAAGAGACAATTGGGAAAAGAGATAGCTGGCAAGAGTTTTCCTAGGGTCATAATAAATTTCAAACACTGACTTTGGGAATTACACCTTTGAAGGAGCCCACATTTGATTGAATTTGTCTGTAGAGCAATTTATGCCTCAGAACATGTTAGCTTATAAAATGTGCATGATTTTAGAGGAAGAAATAATAGAATACCTGTGTTCTGAATTCCAGAATGTTATTTCCTGGATTAATTCTGCCCATCAATATCAAATCTTTTATCTGCATACATTTCTTTTTAGGAGCTGTACTGTAGTTTAAAGGCTTTTTTATAGTATGTTGATGCCCAGACCCAGAGGAAGAGGAGTTCTGGCTATCATTTACATGTGGAACAGTAGAAGCTAATTTTTTAAGACATGTTTTCATCTCATGCACAGTATCACTCCCTGAAACAGCAATCCCTTGACGTGCCAGGGATTTTGATGCCCCCCAAGGTGGTTGCTGAGAAGCTGTTTTCCTGTTTCCTCTTTTTGGAACGTTGGAAAGGTCCTGATTGCGAATAATAGTTGATCGATGGGCATCATTTTGGGCAAATACACTCATGGTTTCTGAAATATTTAATGTGCCAGTTACTGCAGAAGAACTACAGAATTCATGCCTTTTGGCTGTAGTTTCTATAAGATCATTTTCTTTTTGTGAATATTCTGTTTCAGGAATAAAAGCAACAGGTTGGGATGGTAATTTAATCTCAGTGTCACCTGAATGTCTGGATGTTGATAACCCATCCAAGGTAGAATCATGGACATTTTGTTTAGAATTAATCTCATTTCCATAAAATTCTTCCCTTCTCACTGTCTCTGAATTTAGACAAATGTTGGTATTGTGGCTGTAATTGTAAGTTTCTATAGAAAACTGTGCGTCCTGCATGCTTCCAGAAACAAAACTGACAGGAGAAAAGGAACCTGATTGGGGTTGCACTGAATTTTCCAGGCTGTTAAGCTCTTGGCTGTCCTTTTCACTGGAGGTTTCTGAGCTGGGTGGCAGCTTCCTTAAACCAAGACCAGATAATGATGTAACATTCTTATAGTTTTGAATTTTCAGGCTTATTTCTTTCTGTTTTTTTGCTGCAACTAAAAGGCTCTTCTGTCTTGTGGCCAGATTGGCCAGTTGTTCTCTCAGGGCTCCATGCTTAAATGACTCTATGGATACCCTATAGGAAGAAACAGAAAGAGGAAAAAAATACAATAACAGTAGAAACCTTTTCTTTAGCAGTAATTTAGATGCTAAAGATATTTCATCTCAACTTTAACCAGCTCAGAATACACAAAAAGAATATTTTCAAATGTATTTCCTTTGAGAGGAAACTGATTCTTTTATTTAAGGTAAGTGAGTTTGCCTTTCTTTTAGGAGGTGATTGTGTGGTTATCCAGATTTTATAGTCATATCATTATCAGTTGTGAGTCAACCCTAAAAGACAAACAAAACTTGAGTTATATCTATTAGTCTTTGGCAGGAAGGTAGCAATTGGTGGCTAAGGAGGATCACTATTCTTTAAGTTTGGGGTTTGCTCACCTGTTTAAAGTGGAAAGATGAAAAACAAACAAACAAACAAAAAATTTAGACACCCATATTTAAATTAAAAAAATTAAATTAAATTAAATTAAAAAAATAAAATAAAAATAAAGTAGAAAGGTATACTAGGAAGTAAAATTTGAAAGTTCCACTCAGGTTCCCTTGGCTATGAAGGACCAAGATTGTTTTGTGAATAATCATATCTCAGCTATACCTGAGAAATGTTAGTTCATCAAATAATTACTATAATTGCCCTTTAAACCTGTAGTGAGACACTTTCAAGTCCAGAGGGACTACCCAGTTGAGCATCATCCTGTGCAGTTCCCCAGACTAAATTTCTCAGGATCCTAAGGACTGAGGAAGAGAAAATGTCTTATCACATCTCTATACTTCTGTCTTTTGGTTTTGCCCACCCACCCCACATGGACCTTCAGGCTATTAGATACTTTGTTTCCAGTGGTTTTCAAATTTTGGCCTCAGAACCTATTTATACTCTTAAAAATGATTAAGGAACCCAAAGAGCTTTTATATTTATACATTATATCTATCAATATTTACTGTTTTAGAAATTTAAAATGAGAAATTTTTTTAAACAGAAGAACACACAAACATACATTCCATTAGCCTTCAGAGTAATGATATTGATATCAATATACATCACATGGCCTCTGGAAAGTTCCATTGTACACTCATGAGAGAATGAGAGCCCAAAGAGCAAATAACATCTTAGTATTATCATAAAAAATAGTTTTGAATTCACAGATATTCTGAAATGGTTTCAGAGACCCACCAGGGGCCCCTGGACCCTTGTTTCAAGGAAAAGCAATAGTATAGCTAACTTGTCTCTCCTATCAAAGTTGTTGATACTAAACTCCCAGAAGACTATATGTTAAAAGAAGTAGTCTATGTAAGTGGAAAAAGCAACAAGAAGAAGAAATTAGATTAGCAAACAACTGGCAGTATAAAATGCAAGATGCTGGACAGAGGAGAAAGAAAAAAAGGAATAAATAATATCACACTTAAAATTACATGAAACAAGGAGTTCAGACAAAAAACAAAGGTGCTATCTTTAGATACCCATATCAAGATGTGAAGTCTTATAGCAATATACTGATATACACACTTAAAACTCCAACTGATCAGGAACTTTCCAAAATTCTAGGTAGAGTACTTTGCTAACCATAGGACACTAAAGAAAAATTGAAGCAACCCTCTCCAAAGTCCTCTAGAAAATTCACTATAGTCAATTACCATTTGTAGGCCATACACTTGCTTTATAGTGACAGGAAAACAAGTCAGGAAATAGAAGGGAACTTATTCACTGGAGAGGAAATCAAAATAGGGATAAAAGACAGTAGATTTACAAGTAAAAATAGAAAACTGATTTTTAAATAAGTTCAGAAAAAAACTGAATAGTTATTATTAATAATTATAGATGTCAAATGATTATAAGGTAAGAATATGTTAGGAAATATTTAGAAGTATTAAATGTAAATAAGCTAAGTCTATGAAGAACAAATAAAAAATAATGCCCCAAAAAGAATTACATAAAATTTTTTTCATGAAAAAAATGAAAAGAGGTATATAACTAATATAACTAGGATAAAATTCTTTAAAGACCCCGAGATTTTGGAAATATAATAAAATACAAAATTAATCAACCAATTAATCAACTGCTTAGAAGGATGACATCTGTGATAGCAAAAAGAAAAAAACTTTCAATGTAGAAAATTTGAGTGTGCTAAGGAAAGAAATTTATCTGTGGGATTCATGACCAGAGTGCTTTCATAAAAATTTTTCACTATAGACAACCTTTTAAGATATTAAAATGTTCTTCTCTGAATATTTCAAGTAATAAAGTAGAAAATTAACTTTCCAGCAAGTATAATTCCCATAGAAGTAACAGACAGCCTCAAAAAGTCATTTGTTAGTCTTAAAGTTTATATTGTTAAGAAAATCTAGGCCTCCGTATTGCAGCTATAAATGGATTAAACTGTAGAAACTCTAAAGCACTCCTATTTTTTTCACTTACCTGTATTTTTTAGCCAGATCATCTCTTTCTGCTTTTTGTTTGCCAAGCACATTATCCATAATCTCTTTTATCTTCAACATTTTTTCAATGTACTGTTCTAGAAATATGGTAATAAAAAGTTAGTTAATTGAGGGATAGTAAATGTTAAATTTGGTCACACAGGATTTAGCCCCATTTTTAAATTTAAAAAGCCATTATTCCCTGCCCTCTTCCCCAATATTAATGGCCCAGATATCTATAAAGACGTATTTAATTATGTTACTTTCAAAGATAATTCCTGGAACTTTAAATACTCCTGTATTAAAATAGAAGACCATTTTTTCAGCCCTTGTGAGCTTTGAAGTAAACATATACCTTAAGAAGATGAGGTAGCAATGACCTTGGATGTCTGAAACAATCAAACTTAAGTATGAGTCCATATTTACCTGCATCTTCAGGGTTTTTTATTTCAAATGCTAATAAATTTTCTTGTTTTTCTTCTATATCTTGCAGAATGGCACTTAGCGTCTGATGCTATCAGATAAAAATATTAGAAACTTCATTATAAGGGGATAGATGTGTTCTCTGATATGCCACTGACAAATGCACAGTAAATAAAGTGCTAAAGAAAGTGCTCCTAAAAATGCTAATTTCTCTTTATGCTCAAAATCTACTCATTCTTTGCATAACTTAATTGAATAAATGTTGCAGATTTGAAAAAAAGTAAACTTAAATATATCTTTTAACATTTTATTTTTTATTTAAAAAATTTTTTTTGAGACAGCGTCTCACTCTGTTGCCCAGGCTAGAGTGCCATGGCATCAGCCTAGCTCACAGCAACCTCAAAGTCCTGGGCTCAGGCAATCTTTCTGCCTCAGCCTCCTGAGTAGCTAGTACTACAGGCATGCACCACCATGGAACCAGCTAATTTTTAAAATACATTTTAGTTGGTCAATTACTTTTCTTTCTATTTTTAGTAGAGATGGGGTCTCACTCTTGCTCAGGCTGGTTTCGAATTCCTGATCTTGAGCAATCCACCCGCCTCGGCCTCCCAGAGTGCTAGGATTACAGGCGTGAGCCACCGCGCCCGGCCTCTTTTAACATTTTAATATCTTAATATCTTATTTATATAGATCTCCTGGAAAATAGAATGTAAGAACAGCAACCATATAAAAATATCATAATTTCTCACTGACTTCTGTTAAAATTATAGTCATAGGAGAAAAAAATAAATAACTCAGCAAGAATATTAAAGATCACACACATGCAACAAGTTCACTTTAAGGCTTTACAACTCTCATTGCACACTATTAAAATCTCACATATAATCTTAGAAATACAAACACTACTCCCTCAAAAACTCACAATGGAGACTTAATACCACCCCTTCAAGCCCTTATCAGTGCTAATTTTCCTGCCTGGAATGCTTTCAATTCGCTCTGTCCAGACTGCTCTCTTTCTTATGAGAAAGACAATTGTGGTGTGGGCTCTGGAACAAACTAGACTTCCTCAGTGTGAATCCTAACTCCATCTCTTCCTAGCTGGGTGACTTTAGCAAGTTACTTATGTCTGCCAGCAATAAGTATCGCATGTAAAATGCTAAGGACAATGCCAGTACAACTTAAGAGCTCACTAAAAACTACTTATTATTATTGTATAAAACCCATTTTATTTATAATACTTCTGATTTATCTATTCCATGCCAATTTCTCTTTTCTAAGAATTATTTAAGAATTTCATTGTGACATAATTTAGCATTATATATGAAATATAATGTATAAGACATTATGAATTACCTTATATATTATATATAATACATAATGTCTTACATATTATATTAATATTTCCTCATCAAGGCAGGAACATGGCTTTTATATTTGTGTACTGTTTCCACATAGCTGTTACTTCATAAATGGTGACTGGATTGACCCATATTACCTATCCTTTAATATACTCTCAATACACATTCATTTCTAAAACGTGTAGCTCCTCAAAGCTTTCTGAAGTAAATTTCTGTGAAATTTTACTTTGGTGCCCACAAGTGATATAAAAAATGTATATAATAAAATCATCTGATTATTTAGTAAGACAATCTTAACTACTGTCATTTATTAAATGCATCAAAGTTAAACTATAAGATATAAATATGCAAAACAAATAAACAAACAAAATCAAGGTTTACCTCTTAATACAGTAGCTTACAGTTATAAAAGCAAACCAAAGGCCTGAATTTGTGCCCTTAGCTAAGCCTCTATTCACAAATAAAACATCTTTTAGTGCCAAATTTCCCTTCTGTCTTGCTGTTATTGTAGATATCATTAGTTTATTCAAAACACTTATTCAGCATCATTGAGGATGCTACCTCGCTTAACAAGTTTGTGCCTAGTTAAACTTTTTGTGTTTTTGTCAAACTTAGCATATCCATCTCATCAATCAATATATATTTTATTGAGCAACTGTTATGTTATTTTTGTAAAAATCTACCTTTACACGGTGGGTTTCACAGCAAATTCTATCACTATAAAGCATTTGGGATCTAGAAAAGCTAAACCAGTTGTTTTCCTTTTCTCTGTGTGGGTTCCATCATCTTTTCTACATCCTATGTATTCTGGACACTTTTAAGGGTGAGTGAAGACAGACTCATAAAGTAGCAGTGTCTGTGGGACAGGAAGTAGCTAAAACTCAAGCTTATTGTAAAGGACAGCAACTAATCCATAAGTCTGTATTCAATGCAAATAATTAAGAGTTAACCATATAGCACATCTTCTTGGCTTATTCTGTTCAGTTATGCTATCTTATTTTCTTATGATAATCTTATTTTAAATCTGTGTGTCCCTAAAATGAAAAGAAAGTTACCAATAGCCAATACCTGGCTGGCCCAAAGAATGGCATTTTCTAGACTGAAGAATGAAAAGAATTTCAACTTTACTCACCACAGGAAGGTTTTCTCTTGTTTCTCCTTGGTGTGAAAAGGAAGGTGGATGAACAGGTTTTCCATCATCACAAAAACACTGTTTATGTCTTTTTAACCGGACAGCAGGAATTTTTTCTTTAAAAAATAAAATTAGAAAATATAATAAGAAAGTATAAAATTTTAGCTTTTAGATCTGGGACATTGTGGGGGGGGGGAAGCAAGAGAATAAAGAAAGAAAAGAAATTTAACAAAAAATTTAGCTTCATTTTATCAGTTTTAATGGTGACAGAGATGGGAAGGATAAATTAAGTCCACAATTATAATAGCTTCATATTAATTAGCACCACATTATTATTAACTATTTATAACTGACATTTACTGAGCACTTGTCACATGCTGGATGTCAAACACTTTCCATTAATCATTTAATCTTCATATGAATCATTTGAGGAAGGTAGTTTATTATACTCATTCTACAGAACAGAAAAGTGAGGCTTAGAGGGGTTCAGGAAGTTCCCCAACATCACACAGCTAGTATTGAAACCAGATTTTATCCGATTCCAAAGTCCATGCTCTTAGCCTCTATGACTATGATTTACTGCCTCTGTAAAGTTCTCTTGGACTCTCTTCCCATTCTGGATTCCTTTTCTCCATATTATCATTATACCCCATATCCTTCATCCTTCTTGGGTACTTGATTAAGGAAAACAAAAAACAACAGACATGTAGGAATAGATATAACACTTCATAACAGAGTGCCCAGTAACTCCAAATGTTGGGCTTCTCTAGAAAGCCAAGCTGATCTAAATCATGAGGACCTTCCAATATGGTTATAGAGAAGGAGGGTGAAATAGTTGGGGACCTAAGAAAGGCTTGGATCCTTTGATTTTCTATATAGTAGCAGGCAATAAAAAGAGGAAATTTGTACCAGCCTTGGTCTTGACCTGCATGTGATCTAGCCTTCTAGTAAAATATAACACAATGACCATCTTTGGCTTTGACCAATCATATCAGTAATTATTCCCCTGAAAATCAATAGTTGGTAAGGATGTTGGTAGGTTAGGGAAGAAGTGTGTGACAGGGTTTCTCTCCCTAGCATTCTTCCTCATAGTGAGGGCAGAGATGTTCCTGAGTATCTTCCTTGGTGAGTCAAGGCTCAAGCATGAGGGAAAAGGAAGAACAATTCCTTCTCCTCAATACTTAATAAAATGCAGGATATTGCTAAAAAATGGTTTATAAAATTTTCCCATAAATATTCTTTTCACTATTATACATACAAGTATATTTGCTTAACAGATTAATATGCTAATATTAGATTATATTCTTGAAAAGTTGGCATAAGTCCAACTGATATATATAAATCATTATAAATTTTGAGTAATGGAGTCTTAGTTGCAAAGATTTTAGTATAATGTCACTCTTTTCCAGCCCCACACAGGTAAACTAATCTACCTGGTTTCGGTTATGTCTCTATTTCAGACCCAATGTTAGGAAGATTAATGTTTGACTGATGAATGATATATATTTTATTTAAACATGTCACACCACAAAAGTTTAATAAACATAGGAAACATCTATACTCTACAAATTAGAAGATTTTCCTAAGCAAAGGCATACATGGTATATACCTATATAAAATAGCAAGCAATATTGATATACATACCATTGATTATAACATTACTCTCTTCTGTATTATTGGTCTCAATAGCACCATAAGATTTTAACAACTCTTTCATTTTTTCATCATCTGCCTCATCCAAAGCAGTCTTCTGTTTTTGATCTTTTTGATTAGGGTTTGCTCCATTTTGTAGTAGAATCTCAGCTGCCTATAAGGTATTTTTTCAAAGTTACCTCTACAGACACCTAAGATGAACCATTTCTACTTTCATCACAGGATACTACTACCAAGCATTAAAAGTTATGGAAAAAAAATTTTCAAATTCTGGTCAAGAAAATTTTTTATTACATTTGATATATATCAAAATGATTGATAGATTTATCCTGATTGGTCCTCATAAAAGAACCAAACACAATGACATGAAAGTATAATATGCTGCCTTCATTACAGTAAGAGGTAGGCATAGGTAGGTCCAGTTCCAGATCAGTACTGCTCAGAACTTTCTGACATAATAAAATGCTCTATTAATATATGTGCTCTGTGCAGTAGAGAAGCCACTAGTGTCGTATGGCTTCTGAGCATTTGAAATGTGGCTGATGTAACTGATGAAATAAATTTTATCTAATTAATTTAAATTTAAATAGCTAAAAGAAGCTAGTAGCTACCATATGGGACAGCACAGGTCTAGACACTGTGCAGATTAAGCCACTTGTATATAAATGTGGAATTACTGGTACCCAGAATGATTTACCCTATTTCTTTAACATAGCATCTTGCCCTTCCCCAAGGTGCGGAGGATGGAATAGAAAAGGGGGCAAGAGTTGCTTCAGGATTGTATTGCATTATAAACTGTATTATAAATTGTCATTAGACATAGTTGAATAAAGTTCTATTAATATTTGGACTATATTTTAAATATACTACTTGTTCAAGAGGTTTTGTGAACTAGCCTAGGAACCTAATATCCACTCTAATATTCTTCCTATGGAAATATGTGCCCTAAATAACAGACATATTATTAAAGATAAAGGGAAACTTAGAAATAATGTGCTCCAACCCCATCATTTTAAAGAAAAGGAAACTAGTGTCAAAGAGGTTGTGACATTTTTTTCAAAAGAAAAGTTTCTCGTATAAATAAGATTGCTCTGAGTAACTCAAAGACCCAGGATGCCATACGCTGGCACTGGTATTAGCAGATCCAAGTATGCTGATTCTTGGGTCTCCAGGCTGCTTATTTGGGTGCTTCCAGTGGCAGCAGTGGACTAGGCAGCTGGGAGAGTGCTTGAGCCCCAGGTATTGGGTGTGGTGGTATGGGTGATGGCAGTAGCAGTGGTGGGACAACCCTCTGGCTCCCAAACAGTCCATACTGGCATTAGTGGCTGCAATGGGCTGAAAAGGGCAGTCCCCAGGCCCACAGGTAGTGTATGCGTGTGGGTGCCAGCTGTGGTGGTAGCTGTAGGTTCCGTGGGCCTGTTCCTAGGCCTCCAGGAGAAATGCTCAGGTGCCCATTATGAGGGATTGGCAGGGTGATTCCCAGGCCCCTAGATAGCAAGCTTGAGTACTTGGGGGTAGGGGTTGGAGCTAGACTAAGTGGATGTGATCCATTTGAAATTTTTATATATGGTGACAATTAAGGGTTCATTTTTTTAGCTTCATTTCTTTTTTGCAAATCAAAATGTGGAGGTTCTAACTCCTTATGTTGAAAGAGTATCCTTTTTCTATTGAACTGCCTTTGCACCACTGTCAAAACCCAACTGACTACATATGCAACAGTCTATTTCTAGATACTCTATTCTGTTCAATCATCTATATGTAAAACTCAGTGGTTCTCAACTGGGGATGATTTTGTGCCCCAGAGTACACTCTGGGTGCCACTGGCATCTAGTGGGTAGAGGTCAGATATGCTACTAACCATCTTATGATGTATGGATAGAACAGCACACCACAATAAAGACATATCCAGGCTGGGCACGGTGGCTCACGCCTGTAATCCTAGCACTCTAGGAGGCCAAGGCGGCGGATTGCTCGAGGTCAGGAGTTCGAAACCAGCCTGACCAAGAGTGAGACCCCATCTTTACTATAAATAGAAAGAAATTAATTGGCCAACTAATATATATAGAAAAAATTGGCCAGGCATAGTGGCACATGCCTGTAGTCCCAGCTATTCGGGAGGCTGAGGCAGAAGGATTGCTTGAGCCCAGGAGTTTGAGGTTGCTGTGAGCGAGGCTGACGCCATGGCATTCACTGTAGCCTGGGCAACAAAGCAAGACTCTGATTCAGAAAAAAAAAAGAAAAAAAGAAAAGAAATATCCAGCCACAAATGTCAGTAATGTCAAGGTTAAGAAATCCTGGTCTACACTGGTGTAAAAAAATCTTATCCACAAGCACAACTATATACTAAGTTCTATAAGTCCTTCTACTAAATCTCCAAATGTAGGGATGATATTGGTAACTCCCAACACAGATACAAATAATAGAATTAACTACCTGTTTTTATGTGGCATTTTTCAGGATAATGTCCAAAAACTTGATTTTCCCACCATGACATTCTGACCTTTAAGTGGTTTCTCTTTAAGTGGCCTTTTCCTCATACAAATAACCAGTTGGTTTAATGATTCTGTTTGCTTTCTTTATCTTGTAACCATACAGCCTTGAAAATTTGTATATTTTTTAAAAATTTAAATATCTTAAAGGGAAAAGAGCTTCTTTTAGTGAAAAGAAGTTACATTGGACGTTAGACTACTCACTCTGGCATTAAACATTAGTTCACATCTCTTTTCTCTACAAATCATAATTCAATAATACCATCCCTTTACATGACTATATTTAGGATTAAAACAGCAAAGACATACTTTCACAAAATTAAATAAAAGTTAACAGGCTCAGGTGGGTATAGTGGCACATGGCAGTAGTCCCAGCTTCTCTGGAGGCTGAGGTGGGAGGATCACTTGAGCCCAGAAGTTCAAGTCATGGGCAACATAGTGAGACCTCATCTCCAAAAAAAAAGTTATCAGGTTCTTAAAAATATACAGAGACAGATAAATAGGTATTCATGAGGGATCCAAGGATTTTTTTTTATATGAACCCTGGTTTCATATTATTGTTGGTAGTGGTTTCCTTAACTATTTTTTCAAAACCAATAGTTATCCCTGAAGTCTATAATGCCTATTGATAACAATAAAACTTTTCTCATAAGATTTATCAAACAAAAAGATGAGTTTAAAAATACGAAGAGTTTTAAGGTCTAGATTTGAAATTCAGTGTCACTAAAATAATAACCCTAGTAATCTTCTCTTGTAATATTTTTACCATGGCTACTTGATAATGAAAAACAAAGGAGAAAAGGACACATTTAACACCTGGGAAACAAGCAACTCATGTTGTCTGTCACAAACCCATTGAGAAATTCTAGGTTAAAAAAAAGTCTAGCTGTCACATGTATCATCACTATAATTAGACTTTTGTACACAGCAGCACATCATCTTAGACAATTAAAAATGGGATGTATTAGACTTATAACCTGTGTTTATTCTGACTTTCTTTTGATTTACATGAATTATATAATGAAAAAATAATGGAACAATGATTAAAATATATATTGATTTTCCAATCCATACACAATATTGTATTTTCATTTGTAATTTTAAGGTTTTAAAAAGCAATTGTTTTAAGGAATTACTTTAGTTTTTAGTTTAAAATATCTTCATTTTTTTCACCCATTTTCCTAAGAAAAAGCAACAGAAACCTAATCTTATGTGTACTGTACCTTTAAATGATTGTTTGCAACGGCATCATGTAAGGGGAGAATTCCATCTTGACTTTCGCTATTAACATTAGCACCAGCTTTTAATAACTCCACAATTATATCAGCAGATCCCTCAGTAGCTGCCTCATGAAGTGGTGTCCAACCTAAAAAAGGAAAAAGAAAAAAGAAAAAAAAACCAAGACCAACCTGCTCCTTACAAATCAACATTCATGTAGTACTTTTGTACTAGGTTTTGTTGCATTAATTGAATTAATATCTATACTGATTCATATGTATATACCAAGTTTTGGACAAGAAATAATACTGAAAACTATGGGTTTAAAATGTGTAAGTTTCATTTCTGAAAACAGATCGATCTGTTACACTGGATATAAATGCCAAAACAGAAGACTCATAGACTGTAAAACATAATGACACCAGAGTAAATACCAATCATTTCAATTTATTTCAACTCGGACCTTAAAAATGTCTGATTTTCATCTTTATATCTTTGTATTGTCACATTTCTCTTTTAAAATGACATCTAATGTGATCAACTTTTGAGTTTTTTCTGTGGAATTCTTCACACAAGATTCTTCTGTGCTTAAGCAAAATGTTAGAAGATAAAATTTTAAAATGGAGGTTTAGAATAAAAATAAGAGAAGATAGGCCAGGTGTGGTGGCTCACGCCTGTAATCCTAGCACTCTGGGAGGCCAAGGTGGGCAAATTGCTCAAGGTCAGGAATTCAAAACCAACCTGAGCAAGAGCAAGACTCCGTCTCTACTAAAAATAGAAAGAATTAATTGGCCAACTAAAAATATATATAGAAAAAATTAACCAGGCATGGTGGCAAATGCCTGTAGTCCCAGCTACTAGGGAGGCTGAGACAGAAAGATTGCTTGAGCCCAGGAGTCTGAGGTTGCTGTGAGCTAGGCTGACGCTATGCCACTCTAGCCCGGGCAACAGAGTGAGACTCTGTCTCAAAAAAAAAAAAAGGGAAGATAGAAAAAAGGAACAGTATAAAGAAAAAAAGAAATAGAATAAAGGACAGTAAAATGACAAAATGTTGTAATCTCTCCAAAGTTAGGGGATAGAATTAAGGTTTCCAAGGAAAATGTCTAACTCCCTTCACTCTTCATTCTGTCTGTATACCCTCTCTGAATGCTCCCAAATGTATGTTAAAAACTTTTTCAAAGGAGAAAGTTATTTTAGCAATGATAAATCTTACTATTCAACTAAATAATAATATAGTTTTAATAAGATTGTTCAAAGTTATTAGTTACATGCTAGCTAGGATCAGATTTGGAAGGGGGTGTTGAAATGTGTGTTTCAATGAGTTCAAATTATAGAGACAATTAAACTAAAAGGATCTAAACCTGCATTATCTTTTAGATTCACATCTGCTCCAGATTCTATTAAAGCTTTCACCATAGACAAATTTCCTCTTCTGGTAGCCAAATAAAGCCGGCTTTCCCCTTTGGCATTCCTCTTATTGATCCCAGCTGTTTTCATTCCTGTAAATTTGCCAAGCAAAACAGAGGCCTCTTTTCTAACAAATGCTAATTATTATAAAGGATCTTAGAAAACACAACAACTTCCTCAAAATATCATAAGTAGAATGTACTACATAGAAACATACATAAATTAATATTAGCATTGCTGTTATTGTTTTAAAGTATAACTTGTGATGAAATTACACAGCATCCAAGCACAGTACTTGCATTCATTCTAGCAGCTGATTAGTCACTCTATCAAGGATTTGATTAAAACATACTTGCTTCAGTTCTACACTTACCTCACTCTCAGTAGTTGTTTAGCAATGTATAAAATTTTTCTTAAAATCAACTGTGATATTATAAAAATCCTCTTTCTACAGCTGTTTTATATCTCAATGGGTATATTCCTAATCACACAGATACCAAGTACCAATCTATGGCCTATTAGGTTTTCGATTTTTCTTTCACAAAAAAGTAGTATAGCATTGTACAAAGATTCTTTCATTATTTAATCTTTTATTTGCAATGCAAGTTATAGAGACTTAAGTTGGATCTAAAAGTAACAGACTGATCATATGTTTTACCCCCATTTCCTGCTAAAACCATGCTGACATGATCGTATCTTGTTAATAAAAACAAAAAAAAAACAAAAAAACCACAACCAAACTCTGTAATTTTAAAAGATTTACTCTGAGCCAAATTTGAGGATCATGACCTGGAGCCATGCCCAAGAAGCCTTGAGCAAGTGGGCTCACTGTGGTAGGGTTACAGTTTGTTATACATTTCAGGGAGACAGGGGTTACGGGAAAAGTCATAAATCAGTATGTGGGAGGCACACACTGGTTTGGCCAGAAAAGGTGGGCCATCTCAAAGGTGAGGGGAGATTACAGGTTATAGATGGGTTTAAAGATTCTTTGGTTTGTAATTGGTTAAAGACATGAAGCTTTGTCTAAAAGCTTGGAATGTTTTAACATAGGGAGCTGTTTATTAGAGATAAGTCACCAGACATAGATTTGTTTTGTAAATTGAGGACCTGTAGGTTGGTCTTGCATACCCTTAGGCCTGTGAATGGGTTACGAAGGATGTTTCCAAGAAGGGAGGGGGACGTGATGAGGCATGTCTGACCTCCCTCTTCCTGGTAGGCAATTTAGTTTTAGGCTATTCCTCTGGCCACAAGGGGGTCCATTCAGTCAGCTGGTGAGGGGGATGAGCCTTAAAATTTTATTTTAGTTCACAGTAAGAATTCTAAAAAGTACCATATAAAGAAAATAGAAGAGGAAACAATAGAGGACAAAGACTTCAACAAATTTGGGGGAATTGGAAAGTCACTAATGGAAAAAAGTGAACTGACTTGGCAAAGTAGGGAATGTTCCAACCCAAGTGTCTGCAAAGGGAATTATAGAGAAAGAGAGCCAATCTGCACCCAGGCACTCAGCATTTGAAGACACCAGGTGCCATGGAAGGCAGGTAGGTATGTGGAATGGGTCTGGAAACAGAGAGACTGACTAAAAAGTTTATATGTAGAAAAGTTGAAACTCCAATTTCCTTTCCCTTCCTGAATTGACTCCTTTTATCTCGGTTTCCCAATCCAAAGCCAGAATCTGAAGGTTTATTTTCTATAGAACTGTATCAGAGAAGCTTCAGATTGAGAGGCAAGGCAAAATAAAGAGTTAGGGCGATGAAACAGAAAAGAATATTCATTAAATCTGTAGTATCAGTACCACTGAGGAAACCTGTTTGAATTGCAAATTCTCAAGCCTACCCCAAACCTACTTTGGAGGGCAGACTCTAATATGGCTCCAAATAATCCTCATCTTCTGGTATTTATGGATTTGTGTAATCCCCTCTTCTTGAATAACTTACTTCTAACCAATAGAATACCTCAACACTGAGGGCATTTCGCTTCATTGATTAGGTTATAAGAGATTATAAAGTTTTCTGTCCTGCTAGCAGACTTGATCTATTGCCTTCAGTCTGTATGCTTTGATGATACAAGCAGCCATGCAGAGAAGCCCACGCAGCAAGAAACTGAGAATGGCTACCAGCCAATAGCCAGCTAGGAACTAAGGTCCTCAGTCCAACTAGCCTCAAGGAACTGAATTCTGCCAACAACCACATAAGCTTGAAAGTAGATCCTTCCCTAGTCCAATCTTCAGATGAGACCCCACTCCTGGCCAACATTTTGACTGTAGCCTAAGAAAGTTCCTGTCAGAGGCCCTGGCTAAGTCATGCCCAATTCCTGATCTGCAGAAACTATGAGATAATAAATGTGTATTGTTTTAAACTATTAAGTTTGTGGTAATTTGTTATGTAGTAATAGAGACAACTAACGCAACTATTAAATCAGATCCTTTGAGGGTAGGGCCCAGTAATATGTGTGTTAACAAGTTTTTCAAGTGATTCTGATGCAAACTAAGGTTTGAGAACCACTGCATTAAATTTTGGGACCTTTTCTGCCCTATTTCCTAAATGTCATCAACCATGCATATAATTTCTTCAAGGCAAGAGATAAAAACTTAGAGGATTATTCTCTAAAAAACAGATTTCCTGGGTTACATGAATCACAGGGAAGATTCACAGTCTTAGCTGACATCCAGCAAAAACATATTGCTCTTTAGAGAAGGGTACTCAGAAATTCTTTATTGGAAGAATTAAAGGCACACACACACACACACACACACACACACAAAGAGAGAGAGAAAAAATATTTGAAAGTCATAAAATATCTAAGATGGTTGGCCTGCAGATCACAAAGTTGAACTCAAAAACCTCTCCCAATGAATTCTTATTGTGGATGGTACAGATCTTCTTACTTTGTTCCTGAGGTGTTTGTAGCAAGGAAGGTAGCCATGTGATAAACATTGTGGAGCAAAAACTCAAAAATAACTCAATGTTACTGTCATGATAAGTCTCTACAGCATTTCATTGAAAACTTAAAATAAAATCTGGCAGAAACTCAAAAGAAAACAAACAATACTTATACTAAACCTCTTCATAAAGTCCACTATAGTTTGGAATCTGGTGTTACTATTAATTAGTACAATGTTATTAAGAAATACTCAGATTTCTGTTCCCTTGTATGTAACCAGCTTTTTCCTCTCTGGAAGCTTTTAGGATCTTCCCTTTATCCCTGTTCTGAAATTTCATAGGGAGGTGCCTTATTCACTGTACTGGACACTTAGTGGGGCCATTCAATATGGAAATTCCTGTCTTTTCATTGCTTGTATTATTTCTTTGATGACTTCTTCTCCTGTTCACTGTTCTCCCTGGATTTCTTGGAATGACTTTCCAATATGCTTATCTTTTCTCTCCTATTTTCTAGCTTTTTCTTTTTTTATTCTTTGTCAGAGACTTGTAAAACTTTGCCTTTTAACCCTGCCATGGATATCTATATTTTTTAAAATTTCTCCTATATTTTTAATATCTAAGACCTCTGTGTTGTTCTCTGTTCCTTCTTTTCTATACTTTTTTTTTTTTAAGTTTTAGATATTTCCTGATTCTTATATTGTTTCTGGTACTTCTGAGTTCCTTTGGTCTATTTAGTTTACTTTGGGGCTTTCTGCAAATACTTGTTAATCGTTGGCTATCTTTTCGTATTTAAAGGAAAGAGGAAAGAAACTAAATAAAGGAAAGAAACTAAAATCCTGATTGGAAATCTTTGGAAGGTGAGAGGAGTGTGGCAGAATTCTGGGGCCTGGTCGAATTCACAGTTGGGTGATCAGGAATTAAGCTGGCCTTTTTGTTAGGGAATAGATGTGAATACCTGCAATTCTTACCTGTGGGGCAGTTCAATTCTCTGCTCAAGTGGCTTAAGGTCTAGTGGAATTAACAAACATGCAAAAGATTATATTTAAATATGAATAAGTGCTACTAGGAAGGAATATAGTTTCCTGTGCTAGCTGTAACAAATTACTATAAACTGGGTGGATTAAAACAATGTACTCTCATGAGATTAAAACAATGTACTCTCATGATTTGGAGACCAGAAGTCCAAAATCCAAGTGTCAGAAGGGCTACCCTCCCTTAGAAGTTCTAAGGGAGAATCCTTACTTGCCTGTTCTAGCTTCTGATGGCTGTCAGCATTCTTTGGCTTCTTTGGCTTGTGGCTACATTGCTCCTTTGCCTCTATCTTCATATTATCTTCTCTTCCCCTGTGTCTCAGATCTCCCTATCTTTCTTACAATGACACTGATATTAGATTTAGAGGCCACCTGGATTTTCCAGGATGATCTCCTTCTCTCAAGGTCCTTAACTTGATTACATATGCAAAGACTCTTTTTCAAAAGAAGGTTATAGACACTCCTTTACCATGCAAGATAATATTCACCAATTCCAGGGATTAGGAAAGGACATCTTTTGGGGGCTATCATTCAACCCACCATAGGAAGTGAGTATAAGAAGGGCTATGGTTTATATGAGAGGGGGAAAATAAGGGAAGATTCATAGAGAATGCCTAACCAGTGTCCTTCCTATTTCTTAATAGACAATAGATAAATCAACTTCTCTGTGCTTAATGTTTAACCTGAAGTAGACCTGCCTATTGTTCATCATACAACTATCTCCAAGAACTATCAAAGGATGGTTAGTGTGTCCATACTGCCAAACACACACAGTTCATTCATCTACTACAAAGAAACTAGTGGCTATTCTTCTTTAATTTCCCTTATGTTGAAAGGGCTGAATGGAGGTATCTAAGGGATCTGTCACAATTTATCTCTGCTGCCCCCACTGAATACTGCTGCTGTCTCTGTTGTTTACCCTATCTCCTCTAACATAAAAAACTAGAAGTCATAGGCAGAAATACATCTGAGGGCAAGAATACATCTGAAAACTAATGTATTCTCAAGTGGTGCCTTAACAACAAATATCTCTGAAATAATCTTATAACTTAGTACCTAAAAAAATAAATAATATATCTGATACAGATTCTCTGAGTAGAGTGGATTTGCTAGGCTTGATTATATATAAACTTTTATCTATAGAATTACACAAATACAAACCTTGGCTGTAGGTAGCTTTCAAGAAATTTCGTCTTTTTCTGAAATTCTGAACTTTTTTGTGTTCTTGGGTATTAGTAGGTATGTGAATTTCTGGCTCAGTTTTTTTTTTCTCCTTACAATTTCTCATAGTACTTTCATCTCCATTGACATTATTAGTTAATTCCTCAACTGAAACACAAACATTTTATAATGTCAGTGTTGTAGTGGTTGGTTAAATGTCTAGAAAAGAAAATTCACACTTTTTTAGAGTTTCTCTTCTCTAAATAAGCCAGACTGTTTAAGAGAATGGAAGCTTTTAAAAATGTTTTTATATAACAAACATAAAATTTGTTGGCTAAAATTCTAATGGGAATTCAGTGAATAGTTTAAATCAATAGAGCTAACAATTTCCTGCTATTAAAATTTTGTTAGGTTTTCTGATAATAAATACTATATTAAAAAGAAACAAAAATTAATAGAAATACTGTTTATTAACTTCTATTAATATCAGTTTAGCAACCATCTTTGATAATAACGGTTAGACTTTCAAAGTAAACACTATTACTTAACTACTAGTCTTAGCAGTGTCACAAATGATGGCTAACAAAACCTCATTTTTCTCAGTTTGGGCACAGGTTGAGTGAAATTCAGTTGAAAATGTCTATAAAAATAAGTAAATCTAGTAAATCTATAGGAAATGTGTACAAATTGAGCAACACTACTAATACCTGGTTGGTGAGAAGTTTCTTCCTCCTCTCTTTGACCAAGTTGTGTGATGTTCGTCAATTCTTTATTCATATTGTCAGCAGAATGAAAATCTATATTATGGATGGTCCTATTCTCTGGAAGATTTTGTCTTCTTTTTTCAACTTCAGTTGTTTCTATTACTTGAGAATCAACAACTGTGGATAAAGGCCCATTTAAAGAACTTGTTTTCTGGCCTTTGTCAGTGTAATTCCTTTTAGTGTCTTGTTTCTTTGTCACCTTTTCCACAATATGTATATCTGTTTGATTCATTAAAGGAGTTGGTGCTCTGGGGCTATAATCCTGATGCTTTTTGAAAAGGTCCACATGACTAGTCAACTTTGAAACCTCATGTGTTGAAAGTGTTTTCATATAAGCCAGGGAAGTTTGCTTAGGATTGCTGTTTGAGTGATCAAAAGAAGTTCCATATATGCATTGTTCAAAATTCATAACATGCTGTTCAGAAATGACTACATTATCTGAATCAGAAAAATTAACAGCTTCCTGTTGTGGAAGTGTAGTTAGGCTGCCTGCATTTAACTCATTTTCCTGTGAAAAATGGCCTTCAGAAGGTGAAAATTGTTGAAAAGTCATTTCTTCTCTATTTGTTATATTCTCTTTATCATTACAGTGGTTTTTGTAATCTGTGGAACATATCACCTTTTCAAATGTTACAGATTTCTCAGAGCTAGAGCAATCACCACCATCATCATCAACATTTCTCTTTATGAAAGATAGGAAAGATTTTTCCCATTTATTAATAATACTCTCATCTTTTTTAACTGAGTTACTGTTTTCCTGAGATTTATAAGGGCTGCTGTGTTGTTCTTGGGGAGTATGAGGCTGCTGATCTGTAGTAACAATTGGTAACTTAATTTCTTTATGTAATGACAGTCCTGGGAGAGAATCAGCTTCAGTTTGATCAATAGATTCTAGTTCCAAGCACTGTGCTTCTTGACTATCTGATAAATCCATGCTCTGGATTTGTGTCTCTTTAGAAATTGAACAAGCCTCAATATTGTTATCTAATTCATTTTTCAGGCTTGACAGAGTTGGGCTGGAATGTTCACATGCCTCTTCTGGAAGGTCATCAATGGTTTGCAGAATATGTTGTTGACGAGTAACCAATCTGTTTATTCTCCTGGAAGAAGAGACAGCTAGTGCCTTTCTTGGATTGCTGTCTCTATCATCTACTTGTGTCATTTTATATAGTGTGTTTCTTCTTCCTTTACCTTTAGACAACTTTGTGCTGGGATCTTTGATGTTACGGAGACTGCCTTTTCTGAGTCTTGTAGAGTATATTTGGTTAACACTTGATTGTTTATGCTTGGATTTACAAAATTTTGTGTTTTTGGAATCTTTCTGGTAACATTCATATACATCTTCTTTATTTATAAATAAATCCTTTTTGTTTCCTTTATTGACTTTTATGTGTTCTGGCTTCTGTCTTCTGGAATTTTCATTACAAACAAACCAAATGCGATTTTTAGAACTGAATTTTGGTTTCTATAGAAACAAAACAGATAGTTAGCTTTAATTTTCAGCTATAGTTCTACACTCAATTCAATCTGCACTGTTGATATATCAAACTATTATTCCATTCAATTTTATATTTTGATCTAACCACAGGACCTACAGGGATATATCCAACCTGTTATTTCAAAAAATAGACTAATAGACTAAAGGCAAATGTAATAGATTTAGACTCAGTATGTATACTAAACTTTATTTCCTACTGTACATTTTAATTTCTTTTTGCATTACTAATCTTATTAAATATCAAAAGTTTAATTCACTTAATTTGTATAGGCTTTTAAACCATTAGTTAAAAGTTTCCTTTATAAGAAAATGCTTTGGAGGCTGGGTGAGGTGGCTCATGCCTGTAATCCTGGCACTCTGAGAGGCCGAGGCAGGCAGATCGCTCAAGGTCAGGAGTTCGAAACCAGCCTGAGCAAGAGTGAGACCCCGTCTTTACTAAAATTAGAAAGAAATTAATTGGTCAACTAAAAAAAAATATATATATATAAATTAAGCTGGGCATGTGGCACATGCCTGTAGTCCCAGATACCTGGGAGGCTGAGGCAGAAGGATCGCTTGAGCTCAGGACTTTGAGGTTGCTGTGAGCTAGGCTGATGCCACGGCACTCTAGCCTAGGCAAGAGAGTGAGACTGTCTCAAAAAAAAAAAAAAAAAAAGAAAGAAAGAAAATGTTTTGGAAACACTCTCTTCTCCCAATTGTTATACAGCTAAACCTAGAATTAGGAGAGTTTCTTCCTCTAGTATCTAGGAGAACTACAGATAGGTCAGTGGAAAAGGGATTTAAATATAAGAAGACAGATACAATCCTAAATTGGCATGAAAGATCATTGTTGGCTGCTAGGATTAAAATAGGAACATTGCTTCCTCTCACTTACCACAATTCAAGCACCGATAAAGAGTAACAGCCTACCCTGTTTGAAGGGATGGACTGACACCTTTGATACTTGTACTGTGTTTAGGCCACAGGAAATTTGACATGGTTGAAAAACCTTAGGCTCCGTGAAAAGGAGGAGAAAGGAAATGGCTACCAATACATTAGTATGCCCAGATATGCTACATTTACTCAATTGCTTCTCAAGCTAACAGACCAGTACACTTTGGTTCTCTGTTACTAATGTTCCAGCAGTCTTTCTTTTTCCTCTGATGATCTATAAAATAACTAGCAGTTACAGCCCCTGAAATTTTATTACTAAACACAGATATACCTTGCGCTGGTGTACATCCTCTACGTCTAATGGGTTAGTGTTATTCCTCTGAGCTGTAAACAAAAAGAGAAAATCAACTCTAGACTTCTAAAACCCACAAGTCTTTCATCATGAGAAAACCAAGTGGAATAAGTCAATTATACAAACATTTTATATTAAAATTGGCACATAAAACATCCCTATAATTTATAATTTCCATATTAGAAACCAAATACTATCTTAAGAGAGCTAAAAACATCTCTAAAGGAAAGGCAAAACAGACCTAACAAGATAACTAATACCAAATATTGGTATTGACCTCAGTATTTTTTATTTTCCCCACAGATATATCCAGTTATACCCTCTTCATTCAGTAGATTATGCAACTGTATGTAAGATACTTTTATAAGGCAATAAATTATTTCATAATTAATACGATTATCATCAATTCCTAATACATCTGCTTAATAAGGTCCTAGTTTAAATGCTTCATTCTCTTCAATGTGAAACATATACACATGGAAAAGGCCAATCACCCTTTGAATGCATGGGGGGAAAAGGTGATGTGAAAAAAAATCTAGGTTGATAATACAAGGAAAGTATATTAGTGTCTCTTTCATTGCCTCCTTTAAATACTGAAGGTTGAATTATAGTTACCTATATATGCATTTGGCCTCAAAAGATAAAAACCTAGAAATAGTGGTTTGCACACAGGAGGTATTCAATGAATATTTGATAGAGGAAGGAATAAATGAATGAACATCTTAGATGTGATATAAAGAGTACAAATTTCCTTAAATATATTATAAACTAGAAATATAAATTATTTTGACAAGGATATAATTTTAAAAGAGAGTAATTTATTTCTTGGGAATAATTTCATGACAGTAATCAAATTATGATGTCCATGATGAAGCCTGACATTCACCCACTCACCTCATTCAGGTGAGGAAAGGCACACGGAATATCCTTCTATCAAGGAAAGGGGCTAGGAGCACAGTCTCTGGAGACTCACTCCTGAGTTTCAATCCTGACTCACATGCTCACCAGCTGGGTGACCCTGGGTAAGTTTCTTAATGTTTCTCCCTTCAGAAAATGCCTGTAAATGAAAGCTAATAATAATCCCAACTATATTGAATTGTTGTGAAGATTAAATGATATAATCCATGTAAAGAGTTTAGAGGAGTTCCTGGTGTATCATTATTATTGTTATTATTATCATCTTCTAAGATCATAAAGGACACTGTGCCTTTTCCGAACTTTGGTTCTTACATAAAACATTAGAAAAACAATACTTTCCAGAAATCACTCTGTCAGACAGGGTTCCTAAGGGAATGTGGAAGGAACAAAGGGGCTTTTATTTCCTCTCAGCTTTAAAACTTCGCAATTCTCTGGTGTAACCAACTTAACACAGAGATAAAAAAAGATCTGAGGTGATGAGTTTGGTGATGTAGTTGTGCCCTTTTCCCTCTGTCACGCTGAGCTCCCATCATATACTAGGGACTGGGTTAAGGTATTTTAAATATATTAACTCCAATCTTCACACTAAAAATCCCATAAGTAGATGAGTAGATATTATAAACTCAAATTTACAGGTAAGAAAATTAGGGATATTAGTTTACCCTGTTGGCTTTATAACCTATAAGACTATAAAGTTAGTATAAATGAAATCTTGTCCTGCACCAAAGTAGATGTATTTCACTCTAAGATAGAAAAGTAGGAAATATATTTTATATGAGGAAAGTTCTTTATTCATTATTCCCATAATTGAAAGCTCTTCATCTAGAATTTAAAAATGAAAATTCCGTTTGTATAAGTATACAGATATTCTTTAAGTAAACTAATTTTGCATTTATATTGAAAAGTAGTCAATAATTAATGACAGAATTTGAAAGTTCAAACTTAAGAAATATTCAAACCATCTGGTGAAGCATGATAATGCAACCTAGCTTAGTAAATTCTTTTACAAAGGAAGAATGGGAGCTAAGTCCTACGTAGAAAACTTTGGGATTCCTTTCCATGAAAGAAATTCCCTTGGGTAAGTATAGGTTTGAAGTGGGCATTGGCAAACAGGGAAATACTGGGTTTTGAGAAAGGGCTAGAATGCTGGAGAAAGCATTCCCAGAAGAGCAAAACAATGCATTAGTCACATTGCTATATTGCACCTAATTTTCAATAGCAGACACACCCTGCAATAATTGGAAGAACTATCTTATATTAAATAGAACCCAGCTGGGGAAGGGAATGTACTTTAAATTCCATTTAAAACCAATTATCAAAGGTTTTGCGTTGACACTTAATCATTAACCATGATATATATGTAACATCTGTCCTATTACGGTGTGGGTAAGAAGGAGCTTGGTTTATGTGTCTTTTTTATGTACTCTCACACGACCTAAGCAGTTTTTAAAAATCATATTCATTATAATTGCTTGCTATTCCTATTTCTTATTCATTTTGTATCATTAGGCTCTAATATTATATAATGCCTGCCACATAGCAACCCTGAATGAATGAGTGAATCTCCACAGAAAACAGATAAATTCCAATGGAGGTAGATTAGGAGGCATCTATTGTTTTGCCTGCCTAGCACTTGTCCAGATAAGCAGCTCTCTGAAGAGAATCCATTGGTTCCTGCAGTTTAGATACCTGGAACTGCTTTTATTCCTGACCTTTCCTGGATCTTCAGCTTTTCCTTTAATTCTTGTACTATCCTGCCAAGAAACTCCCTTTTCTGCTTTAAGTTGATTGCATGCCACCCAAGAACTCAATTTACAGTTGTATCAAAGAACTGACACAACAGGCATAGCTGTATTATTTGTCCCCAGGGAGACACAGAGCTTTAGCAGAGGATGGGTTTCTACTGCCAGACTAAGCTATGTTCTGACTAGAGAGAAGGGAAGGACTTAGAGGGAGGCCCACTCACTTTATGTGTAGAAGGATTCTCAGACTAAACGTCCCTGTGCACAAAGGGGAAATTCCAAGCGCAGAAGCTTCTGTTGTTTAAAATAATAATATTTAAAAGCCTTTGGGGAAAAATACCTATTGAGGAAAATTTTATTAAAATATAGTTTAACAAAAGGGAATGAAGTACAAACACATCTCTTGAATGGAAAGAATTTGTTTTGTTTTTGTTTCAGAGGACTGATACACTATTTATTCAACAAATATTTGCTGAATGCCTGCTACGTACAAGACACTTTGGCATTCATCAATAGACAAAACAAAGATCCTTTCCTTCATGGAGCTTATATTCTGGAGAAAGAAGACAGAAAATAAAAAATAAGTCAACTATATAATGTGTTAGGTGTTAAGTGCTACGGGAAAGTCTAAATAGAGTAGGGTAAGGGGTTGGAGTGAGGGTTATGGTTCTAAAAATACATCCATAAATTTTTTGAAACTTCTCCCTTTAAGAGGTGGAGTTTAATTCTGTTACCGCTGAGTGTGAGCCAGACTTAGTAACTCAAGTTATAACAAAAATAATATGGAAAAAGCGATGGTATGTCACTTCTGGGGTCAGGTTATAAAAAGACTAGCTTTTATCTTAGGTACATTCTCTGTCTCTTGGATCACAGTGTCAGCTGCCAGGTGGTCAGCAGCTCTATGGAGAAGCTTGTGTGGCAAGTAACTAAAGTCTTTAGCTGATAACCAGCAAGGATCTGGGGCAGGCCAACAACCATATTTGTGAGCTCGAAAGTGGGTTTTCCTGCCCTAGTCTAGCCTTAATTAACATAATTGCAACCTGTGAGAGACCCTGATTCAGAACCACTCAGCTACACTGATCCCAGAATCTTGACCTTCTAAAACTCTGCAAAATAAAACATGTTTATTGTTTTAAGTGCAAGATATTAGGGTAATTGTTATATAGTGATAGATAACTATTAAATAACATAGTAAGGGTGGGAAGAGGGAAGTTGCAGTTTTAAATAGGGTGGTCTAGGCCTCATTGAGAAGGTGATATGTGAACTAAGACTTCAGGAGGTGAGGGAGGCATATCTGAGGAATAACAAGGAGGCCAGCATGACTGAAGTTGAGTAATGGAAATAGAGAGTGGTAGGAAAAGGGGTTATAACTAGTAAGATGGCCAGCTGATACAGGAACTTGAAGGCCATTATGAGGAAACTGGCTTTTCTTCTAGATTAAAGGGAGAGCCACTGTAGGATTTGAGCAGAATAATGTGATGTTACAAAAAAATCTAACAAATGAATTAAAATGAGTATAAAGAATATGCCATGTATTTAGGTTATTATTATATAACATTTTTTATTGCTAACTACAGATCAAGTTCTTTTGTAGTTCAATTTAATAGAGTAATGGATGGGAGAGCAAAAGTATAGCTATAAGAAAAGATTCTCAAGGAATGGATATAAACAATCCTGGCCATATTCATTGAAAAAGATACAACCAGATATAATTTTCATCACATCATGTTATTCAGCCAAAGGATTGTGGGGGAAAAAACAGAAATTTGTAAAAGATTTCTTAACTGTTCGAAATATAAAACCTGGGGGAAAGTATTGTCTTTCTTTTTTCTTTTGGAGTCCTGTTATGTGCATTTGCAAACAAGTCAGTGTGGTTTATTAAAAGAATGGAGGAAATACACCACTGGATAGATTTTCTCAGAACCTGTGGGGGAAAAAAGTAATTTCTTTAATTTTAAATTAAATTTCCGTAACTCTCTAAAAAAAATTCTGTAACTCTCTACTGATATGATGAACAGGTATAACAGGGTTGTTTAATCTTACCTGATGTAAGATATTTTTGATCTTTAGGAACGTATCTCTCAAGGAGACGCTTCATATGTGAATCCTTGGCTTCATCCAAAGCACACTGTCCACTGTCACTTCTAAATAATGGATCAGCTCCATTCAAAAGAAGTAACTCTGTCACCTAGAAAAAGATTATTCATGTAAGGAAGCCCAGATTAAGGTTATATTGTAAATGTGTGCTAGCATACAACTCTTAAGTAACATCAAATATTTCTTTCAACAATGCAGAGTTTGGGTCTATCTGGAACAACTTTGCCAATAAAAAAAAGAATTAATGTAGTTGCTATTAAATCGTAATTTGTTGATAAACAAATCTCTTATTAAAAAGACCGAGAAAGAGAGAAGAAAAGAAGGAAAGAAGGGATAAGGAGCGAAGGAGGAAGGAAGGTAGGAAGGCAGATGGGCAGGCAGAAAAGAGGTTGGGGCAGAAAAGTTCAGCTGCTAATGAAATACCAAGAATTAGCATTGGATTCTGCAGTAGTAAATGTACAGGTTTCGGGAGGTGGTTACGTTTTCCATCTATACCTGTGTTGCTGCTGCCCCTCTTCAGACTGTCAGGGAGAAACCAGTCAATCCTTAATTGGTTAGTACTCCTCAAGTAACCTCCTTTATGTAGCTCTCCCTGTCCCCATCCCCCACACACTGCTGCCCCAGAGAAAAATGACCTCTCCCTCCTTTCATGTACATATTTTATCATAGTGCCCAATATACTCTCTATTATACTTATTTCTTATATATCTATTTCTCCTACTGTACTGTAAGAAGGAAATGTTCTTCTAATGCTTATAAAGCACCATAGGAAAAGTGTATTAAAGGAGAGCAAGTTGAAAAAAATACCATGTGTAACCGAAAAATGTTCTGTATAGTAATTAAAAGTAACATATAAAATGGCACCTACCATATTAGATACAACAAACCCATCACACAGTAAAATTTAATTATAAATTTTGAATTTCTATTAGTAGAATGAATTGAAACTGAAATTCCTATATGTTTTTCTATTGCATGGTCCCAAAGATATTGAATATTTGCAGACTATATTATTTGCTCTGTAAACAAAAGCATCACAGTACCTTATAATGTCCATTTATCACAGCATCATGTAGGGGAGTAATCTGGTACATTCCTTTGATATTTACATCTGCTCCACCTTTTAACAGTTCACTTGCTGTTTCATAAAATCCTCCTACACTAGCTTCATGAAGTGCTGTCCAACCTATTATACAAAAACAATATGGCATTTGTTTAGATTTGGCACCTTAATAATATTTTGTGCTTGCCCTTAAAAAAACCACTCTAATTCTAGGTTTCTTTAAAAATATTTTGATTATATGAGACAAGATAACATCATCATGAAAACATACTATAATATTTGGTAGGTTCAATAAATCTGAGGGGCCGGGCGCAGTGGCTCACACCTGTAATCCTAGCACTATGAGAGGCCAAAGCAGGAGGATCACTCAAGGTCAGGAGTTCAAGACCAGCCTGAGCAAGAGCGAGACCCCATCTCTACTAAAACTAGAAAGAAATTGTCTGGACAACTAAAAATATATATCTTAAAAAAAATTAGCCAGGCATGGTGGTACATGCCTGTATTCCCAGCTACTCAGAGGCTGAGGCAGAGGATTGCTTGAGCCCAGGAGCTTGAGGTTGCTGTGAGCTAGGCTGACACCACGGCACTCTAGTCCCGGCAACAGAGCCAGACTCTGTCTCAAATCAATCAATCAATCAATCTGAGGGACAAATCTAATTCCTACCCCTTCACTAGCCTGTGGAAAAATGTAAAAAGAGGTCAAATATTTGAAAGCAAACCTGACCTCCAGATAAAAAGACTGTACAGGAGTGATTATCAACTCGTAGAGAAGGCTGGTTGTAGGCTACTTTTCTGCAGAGGTAGGGGAAGAAAAGCTTTATTTCTAGTTCAAGGTACTTCCATTAGTACGTTGGCTAGATCGAGCTGGCTAGATTACATATCAGTCAGTTCAAAAGTATATATTTATTTTTCTTATTTATAAAAAAGCTATTTATAGTAGTTCAACTAACAAACCACAAATTGCTCCAAGAAAACCAGTTATATAGACATTCTATTTCTATGTTAGCCAAAGACAAATGGTATAAGTTATATTTATTAAATTCTAATAAATCATACAATAGATGTAAGAAAACCTAAAAGTTGCATGTTAAAGAGTATTTCACTAGCTCTTTTCAGAACATTCTCCATAAGCCAGGGTTTCTCAATCTCAGCAATGACATTCTGGGCTTGATATTTCTTTGTTGTTCTGAGCATCACAGAAAATTTAGCAGCATCCCCGGCCTCATCATGAAAGCACACTGTATTATTTAGTGGGTTTGATAAATCTGAAGGACAAATCAAACTCCTACCCCTTAATTAGCCTGTAGAAAAATGTGAAAAGAAGTAAAATATTGGAAGTAATCCCGAACTCACCAAATAAAAAGGCTGTACAGGGGTCCTTATCAACTCAAAGAATGCTGGTAGCAACTTCTATCCCAGTTGTAACAACTAAAAATGTTTCTAAAAATTGCCAAAAGTCCCCTGGGAGGGCAAAATCACCTAGTTGAGGACCACTGCCATAAAGTGTTATGAAAGCAGTTTCTCCCATAGTGTAAATTATAAAATCATTAGGAAGAAATGAAGAGCACCAAAAATGGTAAATATACAGTTAATAGGGTTTTTTCCTATAAATTTCCATAAAATGCACATGGCTTTTTAAAGCAAAAATTATAACATTATCTTTTAGTATTTAGAATGTACATAGATGTGATATATATGATAGCTATATCGTAAAGAATGGGGGAATAAATGAACTTATATGTATTCAATGTTCTTACATTTTATATGTTTATAGGAAGTATTATAATATTAACCCTAAGATGACTGTGAAACATTAGAGGTATATACTTAATCCCTAGAGTAACAATAAAAAATACTGTAAAAACAAAGAGAGAAACAAAAAATGAAGTCAGCACACAGGAAACAATTACCCTATTTCCCCAAAAATAAGACCTACCCATAAAATAAGCCCTAGCAGGATTTCTAAGCATTTGCACAATATTAAGCCCTACCCTGAAAATAAGACCTAGTGATGGGTGTGGCTATGCTGTGTATCTGGACAACCCATGTATTTCGTCGAGGAGCTGTAAAGAAGAGGAGCAGCCCTTCTCATCTGCCCCATAAGAGCTCTATTGCTTGACATGAGAGGTTGGGACCAATGGTCCTAAAGGAAATAGAGTCTCAAGAAATTCAGGAAGGAATTTGGGGTTTGGAGAGTTATGATAATGTTCCAGAACAAGACGACTTAACTATATTTGAATAAATGTAGATTGTTGTACCGTACTTAAAAAAAATAACACATCCCCTGAAAATAAGTCCTAGGGTGTCTTCTTGAGGAAAAATAAATATAAAACCCTGTCTTATTTTCAGGGAAACATGATAGTAAAATTGTAGACCTAAATCCAACCATTTACATTAAATGTAAATTGACTAATCACTCCAATTTCCAATTAAAAGGCAAGGTCAGCAGAATGGATAAAAAAGCAAAATTGTATGCTGTCTAAAAGAAGCACACTTTAGGCCCCGCCTCCTTCCTTTCGGCCGGAGCCGCCATCTTCCAGTAATTCGCCAAAATGACGAACACAAAGGGAAAGAGGAGAGGCACCCGATACATGTTCTCTAGGCCTTTTAGAAAACATGGAGTTATTCCTTTGGCCACATACATGTGAATCTACAAGAAAGGTGATATTGTAGACATCAAGGGAATGGGTACTGTTCAAAAAGGCATGCCCCACAAATGTTACCATGGCAAAACTGGAAGAGTCTACAACGTTACACAGCATGCTGTTGGAATTGTTGTAAATAAACAAGTTAAGGGCAAGATTCTTACCAAGAGGATTAATGTACGTATCGAGCACATTAAGCACTCTAAGAGCCGAGATAGCTTCCTGAAGCGTGTGAAGGAAAATGATCAGAAAAGAAGGAAGCCAAAGAAAGGCCTGGTCAACTGAAGCGACAGCCTACTCCCAGAGAAGCACACTTGTGAGAACCAATGGAAAGGAGCCCGAGCTGCTGGAACCTATTCCTTATGAATTCATGGCATAATGGGCTTCTTTGTGAGAAGCGACAGAAAGGAGCTGCGGTGTTGGGACCTGTTCCCGTGAATTCATGGCGTAATAGGTATAGCACACCTGTGAGAAGCACAAGAAAGGACCTGAGCTGCCAGAATCTTTCCCTATGAATTCATGGTATAGGAGACAAACCTAATAAAAGCCGCTGGACTCTAAAAAAAAAAAGTGAAAAAAAAAAAAATAAGCACACTTTAAATATAAAGACAGGTTGAAAATTAAAAGATGGAAAAAGATATAGCAAATAAGCAATAAACCTAAGAAGGCTAGGATGTCTATATTAGTATCATGTAGAGTAGACTTCAAGATAAAGTACATTACCAAGCAATCAGAGAGGCATTTCATAATGATAAAAGATCAGTTTATCAGAAGACGTGACAATCACAACTGTGTATGTACTTTGTAACAGACATTCAAAATATACAATAAATAATGAGTGAGATGTGCACCATCTGGGGATGGTCATGCTGGAGGACTCAGACTTGTGAGGAGGGGGGAATGGGCATTTATTGAAACCTTAAAATCTGTACCCCCATAATATGCCGAAATAAAAAAAAAAGAATTGCAAAATATATATATATAAGGAGCAAAATTGACAGAATTAAAGGGAGAAACAGACAATCCCACAATCACAGTTATGAAGATTTTAACCCTCTCTAAGTAAATGATAGATCAACTAGATGAAAAAATCAGTAAAGACGTAGATGATCTGAACAACATTATCAACATCTTTAGCTGACATTTATAAAAATTACATCCAACAACTAAAGAATAAACATTCATAATTCCTGCGCTAAATCCAAAAATAATCAATAAATAAAATAAAAAAAGATAAACATTAAGTATACATGGAATATTCATGAAGACAGACCATATATAGGCAATAGATAATTCTCAATAAATGTAAAAGGATCAAAACCATACAAAGTGTATTCTTTGACTATATCATTTTAGTCAAATTAGAATTCAATAACAAAGATATCTGGAGACTCCCAAATATTTAAAAATGAAATAATTTTAATATAATCACTGGCTTGAAGAAGAAAGCATATGAGACATTTTAAATTTCAAACTGAATGATAATGAAAATAAAATATCAAAATCTGTGGGATGCAGCTAAAGCAGTACTTAGAGGATTTTTTTTTTTTTTTTTTTTGAGACAGGTCTTGCTCTCTTGCAAGGCTATAGCACAGTGGCATTATAATAGCTCAGTACAATCTCAACTCCTGGCTCAAGCCATCCTCCTGCCTAAGCCTCTGGAGTAGTTGGGTAAACGTGCTTGCCCCATGCCTAGCTAATTTTTCTATTTTTAGTAGAGACAGGTCTTGCTCTTGCTCAGGCTGGTCTCAATTCCTGAGCTCAAGTGATCCTCCCCCTAGGCCTCCCAGAGTGCTAGGATTACAGGCCTGAGCCACTGTGCCCAGCCTATTTTGTTCCTTTATCATAAGGCACTCAGTCTTTTCTTTTTTTATAGACCACTATATATATATATTTAAATCTTCCTAGTAGAAATTATTAATCTTTTTGTTTCACAGTATCTGGCACATAGGAAAGCTCACTTCATTGAACTGACATGTCGCATGAAGGTCATATGCCTCTTGCCAGTAGTTCTTGAAGTGGTGGGGGAAAGGAAAGAAAGAAAGAAATGTGTTTTGGGAGGTGAAGTGATAGTTGTATTTTAAATGACACTGCAGGTGATTCTGTTGAAAATGGTTTGTAGACAACCCTGTGGAAACACTGCCCTCTGTAATTCTGTGAGATATGGTAGCTAGAAATAAAGGTAGAGCTAAGATGCAAAGTGAGAAGGAAATGTAGAAAACAAGAGTTCCAAAAGCATGGAAAATATGGTAAGGATAAAGAATTCATGAAGGTCACAGAAGTGCTCGGGCAGTGAGGAAACTGTATATATTAACGGCTAGAGACAAGCAGAGCACAACCACTGAGAATGTTAACGCTGGCACAGAAAAATAAAAGTCCAATAAAAAGAAACATTAAGAAATGCTTGGGAAATCCATAAAGTCAAAATTTACTGCATATAGAGCTACTTCTGAACTCAATGGGCAAAGAGTACTAACAGAAAGAACCACATATTTCTTGAAATCAAGGAACAAGTGCTTTGGCTAGCAAATGAGGTTCCAAGATTGAGGGTTATACGACCATGGCTGTTGACCTGGGTATGAGATTTTAAATAATATGCTGATTATACTGTAACCTAGGCTTTCCTAAATGTAGTACTGGGTACACTTGTAATCACCTGCCTGTTCATGAATTTTGTTGTGCCATTTATGTGCACAAGACTTTTTGCACTATTTCATAAATTGAGCAAGTCTGCAAACAATTGGAAAAGTATGGACACCCAAAAGCACCAGCCAGGCTGGCCAGTGCTGTTCAGCACATTAAGTACTTAAGTACCTTTAAGGAATTACTCCTCTCCAGGAGAACATGTGGGATATACCCCAGAGGAAGACTGTACGAGAGACCTAATCTTGCAAAAAGACTGCTCTTTCTGAGCTCCCTGTCCCACCCTCTGTACTTCATACTCTATTCTTTCCATTCCCTGGCCACTGCTCCTGCCATACATCTATCATTTCATGACAAATATTCCCTGTAGTTCTGTGTACCATCAGCTTTTTCCAGCTTTTGACCTCATTTCTCTTCTATTTAAGGTTGAGTCTCATAGTAAAAATGACCATGAAAAGTCATCCCCAGGAACCATCCTTCTACATGCCACCACACATGACCCAACTGATATAATCTGTCAAGGAGAGGGCCGGGCGCGGTGGCTCACGCTGTAATCTACACTCTAGGAGGCCGAGGTAGGCGGATTGCTCAAGATCAGGAGTTCGAAACCAGCCTGAGCAAGAGTGAACCGTCTCTACTATAAACTAGAAAGAAATAATTGGCCAACTAATATATATAGGAAAAATTAGCCGGGCATGGTGGCACATGCCTGTAGTCCCAGCACTTGGGGGGCTGAGGCAGGAGGATCACTTGAGCCCAGGAGTTTGAGGTTGCAGTGAGCTAGGCTGATACCACGGCACTCTAGACTGGGCAACAGAGTGAGACTCTGTCTCAAAAAAAAAGAAGAAATATAATGCTCCTTTCCTGCCACCCACTCTTTTCACTTTACCCTCATCCCAAGAAGATAATGATGAAGAGCTACTTACTAAGAAAATTACCTGAAAGCCTTCTGTTTAGTACTTGCCTCAGGCCCACTTTGCTATACTTTCATAGGAGTGATTCAGCTAAAACTACAAACCACTCTCAAGATAACTGTGGGTGGTAACTCTAACTTACCTGCATAACTTGGCTGATTAACATTTCCACCTTTTTTTATACAATGACGAACAAGATCAACATCTCACATGCAGAGCAGCCTTATATAGTAAGTTTCTCCAAAAACGTTTTTCCGATTAATGCTAGAAAGAGATAATTCATTCATCTTCATTTTTTCTGAAATGAGGAAATGAACAAAAGAAAAAAAATCCTTATTTGCATGTCAAGAATACTACAGACTACAAACTACAGACTTTAAGCTACAAACTTGGTAGGTATTGGGTTTCAGGATTAATTTAGTCAACAATGTAGAAGAGAGATATAATATATTATGAAAGAGTATTTCATCCATTAACCCAACTATAATGTTATTTACATACAAAAAAGAAAAAAAGACAAATGTCATTAGTTTAAAAAATTTATAGAAACTATAGCATATGATAAGCAGTGTATGTCAATTAAAAACCCATGAAATGTACATGTATGAGAAGACAGATCTTTCCTTTCCCTTCCCTTCCTTTCCTTTCCTTTCCTTTCCTTTCCTTTCCTTTCTTTCCTTTCCTTTCCTTTCCTTTCCTTCCTTTCCCTTTCCTTTCCCTTTCCTTCCTTCCCTTCTTCTCTCCTTCCTTTCCTTTCCCTTTCCTTTCCTTTCCTTTCCTTTCCTTTCCTTTCCTTTCCTTTCCTTTTTCCCCTTTCCTTTCCTTTCCTTTCCTTTCCTTTCCTTTCCTTTCCTTTCTCCTTCCTTTCCTCTCTCTTTCCTTTCCTTTCCTCTTCCTTCTCCCCTTCCTTTCCTTTCCTTCTCCTTTCCTTTCCTTTCCTTCCTTTCTTCCTTTCTTCCTTTCTTTCCTTTCCTTTCCTTTCCTTTCCTTTCCTTTCTCCCCCTTCTTTCTTCTTTCTTTCTTCCTTTCCTTTCCTTTCCTTTCCTCTTCCTTTCCTTTTCCTTTCCTCTTTCCTTTCCTCTTTCCTTTCCTTTTCTTACAGTCTCACTCTGTTGCCCAGGCTAGGGCACCAGAGTCTCAATCTGTTGTCATGGTGTCAGCCTAGCTCACAGCAACCTCAAACTCCTGGGCTCAAGTAATCCTTCTCCTCAGCCTCACGAGTAGCTGAGACTACAGACATATGCCACCATGCCCAGCTAATTTTTTCTATATATTTTTAGTTGGCCAATTAATTTCTTTCTATTTTTCGCACAGACGAGGTCTCACTCTTGCTCAGGCTGGTCTCGAACTCCTGAGCTCAAATGATCTACCAGCCTCAGCCTCCAGAATGCTAGGATTACAGGTGTAAGCCACTGTGCCCGGCCCAGATTATTTCCTTAAAAGTTGTGGTGAAAAGGATTATTTAAATCTAGAACTATATATCATCAAATTTGATAAAATGTTATAATATCAATATCTTATAAAACCATGAGGAGAAAATCTTAGAGGCACATAAGCAACTAGGCAACTAGGCTGGGCCTGTGTCATGCCTGTAGTCCCAGCTACTTGGGAGGCTGAAGCAGGAGGATCACTTGAGCCCAGGAGTTTGAGATTGCAGTGAGCCATGATAACTCCACTGCACTCTAGCCAGGGTGATAGAGAGAGCTCTATCTCAAAAAAAAAAAAAAAAAAAAAGAAACAAGAAACAAAAAAAAGAAACAACGAAAGATACAACAACTAATCCCAGTGAGTTCAGAAAAAGGTATGCTAAATATTTTCTCTTTGCTAAAAATAAGTAAAGAACCATGGTCTTGATCTGTGTAATAGTTTTGATTTTCTAAGCCAGAAAATGTACAATTAAAATAATTTTCTAGGGGCGGGGTGCAGTAACTTATGCATGTAATCCTAGCACTTTGGGAGGCCAAGGCAGGAGGACTGTGTGAAGCCAGGAGTTCAAAGCCATCCTAATTAAGCAAGGGTGAGGTCCTGTCTCTACAAAAAATAGAAAAACGAGCCAAGTGTGGTGGCACTCGCCTGTAGTCCCAGCTACTTGGGAGGCTGAGGCAGGAAGATCACTTGAGCCCAGGAGTTTGAGGTTGCAGGGAGCTATAATAATGCCATTGCGCTCTAGCCCAGGTGACAGAGCAAGACCCTGTCTCAAAAATAAATAAATAATTTTCCAGATGATGCATACCAAGTATCAATTTTCTACTGTGTCTCCTAAAATACTGAAGCTCCTCATTTAGGTGAGTATTGCTCCTTAAATTCTGTGGGCAATATTTTGAGGGCAATATTTATTTGGATTTTCTTAATTTAGAATAGCTTTAATGACGGGTTTTCTAATTTTGATCTAGTTAAGCTGCCCCATCATAAAACCTCACAAAGGTAACTGAGTACTGCAGTAACTTTCTTAATGGACCACAATTTAACTGCTTTGCTTTTTATTTGACTCCCTCCATTCAGTACCACTATAAAACAGACCAAACTGCTGAACATTTGAGGCTGCCTTCCTACACACTAGACTAGAAAGCATTCTTCTCTTACCAAATAAGTTGCATGCTTACCTAGAATCAGTAGGTTTTATTCCAAATATGTCTGTGCTGGTTGCACTTGCTGCTATAATTATATAATTTTCTGATCTTAGGGGAAAACATTTAGTTTTTCACTATTAAGTATGATAGCTGTATGTTTTTTATAGATGCCCTTTTTCAGGTTGAGGAAGTTCCCTCTCTATTCCTAGTTTGTTGAGAGTTTTCACCAGCAATAGATGTTAGATCCTGTCAAATGCTTTCTCTGCAACTACTGAGATGATCATATGGATGTTCTTCTTTAGCTTGTTAATATAATGAATTGTAGTGATTGATATTTAAATGTAAAACCAAACTTGCATTCCTGGAATCAACACCACTTGGTCATGATCTATTATATAATATTGAATTTGATAAAGTTCATTTAGAATTTTTATATCTATTTTCATGAAGGATATTAGTCTAGTTTTCTCTTCTTATAATGTCTTTGATTTGAGTATCAGTTTAATGGTGCCCTCATTAAAATGACTTGGTATTTCCTCATCTTCAATTTTTGGAAGAGTTTTGTATAGATCTGGTATTATTTCTCCCTTAAATATATGGTATTAATAGAATTCACCACTGGAGGTGTTACAGACTGAAATGCATTCTCAAAAACTCATATGTTGAAGTCCTAATTTGATAGGATAGGATTCAAGTGTGTGTATGTATTTTTTTTCCTTTGAACTGCTTATTCATGTCCCTTACCCATTCTCATTCCTTTTCCTTTTTTCCCCCCAATGTTAAAACTTTTAATTTATTACTATCTGACATGTAAAAAGTTATACTTATTTAATGGATACAATTCAATGAGCTTGGGGATAAGTATATACCCATCACCACCATCAAGGCCATACACATATATATCCTGTTCTTTACCTTTACTGTTTCATAAGAGCTTTTCACATGCTAATGCAATTAACCTTTTGTCAAATGTTGTCAATGTTTCTTCTTTGTTTTATGTTTGATTTTCTTTAGGGTATATTTCTATACAATTTAAAAAAAAGTATATACAGTTAATTTTGTCATTCTTTTCCCTCTTGGCTTTTTGGTTTAAATCATTCTTTAAAAAAGACTTTTTCCACACCAAGATTATAAATAGATTCACTTATGTTTTCTTCTAGAACTCTTTTTCCCATTTAAATCTTTGATCAACCTAGAATTAAAGTTAGTATAAGAAATGATATAGGGATCCGATTTTGTGTTTTTCACTATTTATTGCTTAGTCTTTCTTTTTACCTCCAATTTGAGATGCCATCTTTATCACGTATCTCTCCCATATTCCCATTGTATCTGGCTTCTACCTCTAAACTCTTTATTCTGTTTCACTGATACATCTATTCCTGTGCCAAGTAGCAAATGACTTTAATTTCTATAGCTTTCTAACATGCTTTCATATTATATAGAACAGGATCCTGCCACTCTACTCTCCCTTTGCTTTTTATTTTTCAAAATTTTCTTGGCTAGTCTTTTATATTTACTTTTCCAGGTGATATTTAGTATCATTTTGTAACATTCTCATAGTTACCCTCCAGCTATGTAAAGCAAAACAAAACAAAACAATAACGACAAATAAAGAAAATCTGTTTTTGATTGAGATCTCAGGTATTTATAGAGTAATTTTAGGGAGAAGTAAGTTTTCTAATGTTGAATCTTTCTAGTCAAGAACAAGGTTCTTTTCATTTACTTGTCTTTTTTTTAATGTCTCAGCAGAATTTTTAAACTCTCTTCTTACATATGGTATATTTCTTCTTAGTTATACAAGTACGTATTTTCTTTCTTCTGTAACAATTATAAATGAGATCATCTCTTATATTTCCTAACAAGTTAATGCTTAAATATATATGATAGGTATTCATTTTTGTCTTCAGTTTCTTGAATTTTTTAAACTTTTTGTTTTGAAATAATTTCGTACCTATTGAAAAGCTGTAAAATTAGAACGAAGAAGTCACCCCTTGTTCTGTTTATCATGACATTAAATCATTCTTTCTCCCTCTTTGTATGTTCATATATATACACCCAGACACATATGTATTTATTAATACTTTTATACATTATGCCCTTTTACTCACTAATACTTAAGTGCATATTTCTAAAAACAAGGACATACTGCAGTATTTTCTTTCTTTCTTTTTTTTTTTTGAGACACAATCTCACTCCATTGCTCCAGCTAGAGTGCTATGGCATCAGCCTAGTGCATCAGCCTAGTGCACAGCAACCTCAAACTCCTGGACTCAAGCGATTTTAGAGTCCAGTGGCTTTTATTAGGTTTGTCTCCTATACCATGAATTCATAGGGAAAGATCTGGCAGCTCAAGGTCCTTTCTTTGCTTCTCACAGGTGTGCTATACCTATTACGCCATGAATTCACAGGAACAGGTCCCAACACCGCAGGCTCCTTTCTGTCGCTTCTCACAAAGTGTGAAGCACATATATGCCATGAATTCATAAGGAATAGGTTCCAGCAGCTGGGCTCCTTTCCATTGGTTCTCACAAAGTGTGCTTCTCTGGGGAGTAGGCTGTCGCTTCAGTTGAAACCAGGCCTTCTCTTGGCTTCCTTCTTTTTCTGACATTTTCCTTCACACGCTTCAGGAAGCTACTCGGCTCTTAGAGTGCTTAATGTGCTCGATACTACATTAATCCTCTTGGCAAGAATCTGCCTTAACTTGTTTATTTACAACAATTCCAACAGC